GTATTCGCGAAAGCCCTGAACAGTCTCTCTTCTGTCCACTTTCAGCACTTCGCACAAACGTAGCACCTCTACGTCCCCATACTGTACGTCTAACTCCTCTTCAGGCCAACTTCCAGGATGGATAACTTTCATGTCCTGGATTAGCTGATTGTCCCGGGCCTCCCGGCCATGTAATGGGATTTCTCTTGTGCTGACATGAGAGGAGGTTGTGGAAGTCATTCTGTGTCTCAGATTCTCTACCATACTGTGGAAAAACTGACCTGCATGAATCTGTACAAGCCTGCCATTCTCACGCAGGGCAACACCCTTGAAGGACTTCTCAGCTAGAGCTGTATGAACTGTAGTCATGTGTGGGCCAGGCATGGTGACCATGGATTCAAAAACTCGTATTTCTCGAGTTAAGAGCCTATCTGCTGTAGGCAGTGTCATCTCTCTTTTTTGGAGTTGCCGAGAGAGGTCGCTGAGCTCTGTGAGCGCATTGTACATCAGTCCCAGATTGCTGACAAACGTTGCAGATGTGAGCACATCATCCAGGCCCTTGTACTTCGCTCTGTCTCTGGAATCCCTGCTCGTGTCGTTTGCAGCATTTGTGAAGTGATCATGAAGCACTCGGTAGTTTTCCCAGACTGCTCTGACGCTCCTTTCACTTGAAGCCACCCAGCGGATGGACAAAACACGCCCTATCACCAGGAGACGCTGTCCGACTGCTTGCGCACACTGCGCTAACTGCCTCTGATTTTTGGGGGAGGCATGGAACAAGGAATAGAGTTTGTCAAAAAAGATCTGGAAATGATTGAGCCCTGAGACCTCCTTGACCACATCCCCAACTGCCAGCTCTAGACGATGATTGGAGCAGTGCCACACAAACAGGCTTGGGAATTTACTACACAACTGGGTAGCAACGCCTGTTCTCTTCCCTAGCATGACTGAAGCCCCATCACATGCAAAAGAAACGAAACACTGACCTAAAAAGTCCTCGTTAAAATCTCTTCCAAGACACTCCATTAACGCCTTTGTGATGTCATCAGCCGTTGTTCCATCCAACTCGATCAGCTCCCAAAAAAACGTTTCGGGCTCAGCATCAGCTAATGCTGAGCGTAGACACACAACAAGCACCGTTTTACCACTAATAGTGGTAGATTCATCGACCAAAACACAGAGTTTTCTTTGGTTTTCTGTAATGTCTTTTGCCATTTTTTTCTTCAGCTCATGAGCTATGTGGTCGATGATTTCGCCACAGGTTTTATTGGAGTGCAAAACCCTGCCCACGTTCAGCCCATTCAGTTTCTGTACATTCAAATCAATTGGCATGTCTGTGAATGGCCGGCTATGTTTGCCAATTTTATATGCTGTTCGAAAAACTCTGATAGTGGTGTCTAATTCAGATTTATGCATAGACTGCACTTGATGTTGAATAGTTTCACGTGAAGCAGATGTAAGGATGTCAGCAGCTTTTACATGGGCTTGTGATTCATTATGTTCTTTGATTTTTTTTCTCAGGCTAGCTTGTTGTTTGCCCTTGTCAACACCGAAATGAGACACTGCACACTCACCCCATTCAGTTGACAGTTTCAGTCCTTGTCCAGTGTGTATTCCCAAAGATTTGACATCTCTGCATATCCGACATCCTAGCTTCTTATCTTTAAGAAGGAGCCATGCATTGGTCTTGCAAAAATATTGCACCTGGTCCGTTGTCCAGCAGTCAGGTGCATCGCTTTGCCCGGTGTTGGTGGTGGCAGTTGCGCCAGCAGCAGCTAACGTTAGAGGCTCTGGAGGAGGCGGCGGAGCTAGTGCTAATGCTAATGCACTAGAACTTGGAGCAGGAGGATCAACCAAAGAAAGCTCCCCATCAGACACAATTTCCAACACAGGCACAGCATTCTCTGGATTTGAAGTTTCTTCCGGCGACAACCGCTGTCTTTTTGCACTTTTATTAATCCACGCTAACATTTTAGAAATGCTAATTTGTGACGTGACTTGCTTTTCTTCTCTCGGGGGCGTGCCTGCTCTGTTCTATCACTCTACATAGCCACCCACTGGGTGGGAGTTGCACTGCATAAACACAACACACGTGCATCTAGGTATGTAAATTGTAAAGCATTAAAACATGGTTTTACTAACAGTTTTCAGTATGTTGTTACTTCGGCATTATTATTGTTATTATTTTGAAACGTGTATTACTATTAAATCACGGTCAAATAGGTTAATTTTGACATAGTCGTTTCCACCACAGTATTTACATGGAGAAGATAAGCCCCGCCCCCTCTCCAGCACGTTCTGTTTGAATGACAGGAGTAAACAGCTGACAGCCGCTGTGAAACTCCAGCGGTTAGAGCGATGAGAATGTCCGTTCGGCACCTCATGACGCATCTACTGAGTACCGGGCGGCTGTATATATATATATGGATGTATAATAAGAACGGCGGGAGAGTGTTGAGTACTGGCACGGTGCATGAGTACCGGAGTACCGCCAGCATGCCGGTACTGAGCAAGAAGTGCCGGTACTCCATGGGTCAGAACCAGAAGTGCCGGTACTGCGTACCGGTGAGTACCGGCCCAATTCCAGCACTGCACACATCGCTAATATTGGGTATTTTATTGGGTTCTGGATTCCTATGGATGACTGCCTAGGAGAGAGCGCAGAGAAGCGTGTAAGACTGCGACTCCGCCTCCTGGTCTCAACTCCAGTTTGTCATGGATTAAGTCCACAAAGCCCTGAAATGTTTGCCGAAATGAGATTTACACCTTCCAAAGTAGGATGAATGCCGTCTCTCTTAATCAGACCAGGTTTTCCCCAGAAGGCTGTCCAATTATTTACGAAGCCCACATTGTTTGCTGGGCACCACCAAGACAACCAGCGCTGAAATAATGACATGCGGCTATACATGTCATCATTGATCAGATTGGGGAGGGGACCAGAGAAGATTACGGTGGGATACCAGGGATACTAGCTAGTTTAGTTTTATACGTATTTCAAAATCTTTACTGGTTGACACACATATTTCATCGCCCCCACTGTGTATCGCCCGACACTGGTGTGCGGATATCAAAACAGTAGAAAGAAAAGAAAGCAAGCTCCTTTGCTTATTGGGCCGGAAGATTCCATGTTGATCAAGATTTCCGGGACGTAATGTGGCGGGAAAGATGGGTCATTAAGCAATCTTATGTTCACTTACATGCCACGACTAATGTGTCTGCCTGACTTATTTATCAAAGAGATAAATAATTAATTTCACAAGGCAAATTACCCATGGATATTTACAAGGCTGTGGAGGTAGCAAACAAGGGAAAGGTCAGAGTAGTCAGGCAGACATTGGTGAATGTTTAATATTGTGCCCTTTTGGTTTCTGCCAGACCTCTCTCAGATGTCATCAATCAGAGCGTAAACATCACGATTTGTCTGTGGGATTCACTGTCAGTCAAATAATTCCACCATTACTCGTTTTATGTTAGCGTTATGCTTTGTTGCTCCCATGGCCAAACTAATGTGGCATTGAGGCAAATTGTCTATTGCAAAATATCTTAGAAGTTACTCAGCCTGCATTTACATTGCATCTTCCCTGCATTAATATTGCATCATATTCTGCAAACCCTCTCTGTCTGCAATGTTATAATGTGGAACTGAACATACACATTATAACACTTAATTTAAGTCTTAATTATACACCATATTATTGTAACAGCGGCTGACTCTTGAGAAAAGCAACAAAATTCAATTTTTTCTAAACAATTCCCCTGTGGTGAAGAGCAATAGAGCAATTCTAATTCACTGTTGCATTAACTGAGTGCATTTAGTGAGATGAAGGACTTCTACCATGGCTACATCTGCAAGTCGTATCAGATTAAATCAAACTACCATTGCTCATAAGCTATGTAAGAACTCAACCATACATTCCTGTCACATGTTTCAAATGCAGCATGAAATAATACGTTTGCAGAGTCTCCTGAGGCATCATCAAACTTCAAACTGTGTTAATAAAAGTGGAGAATCTATTTTGGGTCTCTCTAACATCAGACTTCGCTTCATTTTGACCTTTATTCTAGCCATCAGTGAGTAATCTCCAAACGGCACCCTGATACAGGCCTGTGAATACTGCTGCATTGTGCTCTGAAACCAATCCAGTAAGAGCAGATTGAGTAAAGACCACAGAACATTTTAACATTCTTGGCCAGGAAGAATCAATCCGCGGAAAAACGCTTAGCTCCACATTTTCAAGGTTCTCCTTGTATCTTTATGTATGGCTGCCTATAAACCAGAATAAGATGACAACGCAGCAGGAGTCGCAAATATGAAATAGACAATAATCTGCTTGTCAGTCAAGATTTTAAGAGGTGGAAAATGATTGTTGTTCCATTGTTTCAATGTCCTAAATTAAGGAATTGTAACAAACTGGAGGGAACAATGGTTGGTTCCTCTTGGAATATTTCGATGTGCCTCGATGAAACACAGGGATCTTGTAGATGCTGCTGCAGCTATGAAGGCTTTGTTTCCTCTGAGTCGCACCAGTTCAGATTGATTACTCTTGGCATGCACAATTTATTTGACTTCATTGTCCTCCCACTCTGCTGTTACTGCTTGTGTCAGAGATGTGCATATTCTGTGTGTGTGTGTGTGTGTGCATGTGCTAACAAGCAAGTGTGTTTGCTGCAATGTTGACCCAGTTACAGTGTAGAAAGAGTCATGATACTTTCCCTGGCCTATGGTCTTATAAAGGCATTATGTCAGTATATTGTGCGTAAATACTGTATGCCAGTGTATGTTTGCAGACCTTTCAATAGCTGCACTGATATACAGTATATTATAATTGATAACTGATTTTAATGTGTTGTATTACTGTATGTCCATATTGTGTATTGTCTGTGCATGTGCTTGTGTCTATGTCTTTATTGTTTGCATGCGTGTGTGTGTGTGTATGAGTGGCTGTGTGTGTGTGTTTGTGTGTGTGCCTGTGTGTGGATGTGTTTATTTGTGTGTGTGTCCTGCGTTTGTGCACATGTAGGGAAGTAACGTGATGGAGGACCAGGATCTCAGAGACGTCGGGATCACTGACCCAGGACACAGGAAGAAAATCCTCCATGCGGCACGCAGCTTCCCCAAGGTACTTAACATCACAACTTAACCTCTGCACTGAGGGGTGACCGACTGTGTCTCAGCGACAAAGGTCAAGATGTCATGTTTACAAAAATAGGGCATATGAATAAAAATAGATAACACAGTAAAGGGAGAAGGTTACACTTGTGAAGAGATACTGTGGTTCCTTAGAGTTTAAATGAAAAACATAGCAAAATAACATTTTTCCACCACTGACACAATAGATTTAAGGGTAAACAAGTACATTTAAAAAAACTTCAATTATGACTTCTTATTGCAGTATATTGCTAACAGTCATTTTGAAATACTACCCCTAAAATGCATTACAAGTAGTATTGGAGCCTGGGATATTTACGACTTGTCTATATTATACTGAAAGGGCTGCACATGGGTTGTAGATGAAAAAAATCTGGCAACCTGGGCTAAATGTTAATAATGTATTAAAAGCCTGCAATTGTGGAGGGTAAAAAGGCTAAGCAACAATCATGCTAGAGGCTTTGTAAGGCTTCAAACAGGCACAGTAGTTGTTTGAGCTAAATGCTAACACGCTGATAAGGTATAATGTTTACCATGATCACCACCTTTTGTTAGCCGGTTAGCCTGCTTACATCTGCTCTAATAACAAATGATTGAACAACACATTTTGATAATAAAAAAAAAGTCCAAGGCTCACCAAAACTGTTCGTATTCTTCCTCTGGGGATTTTGAATAAAGTAGAACATTTGCCACCGATACATCCATTCTCTCTCTAACTGGAAAACAAGCATATATACTCTACATTTCATTGCAAAAAGACATGCCTCTCTCCTTCTCTCTAGGTGAAAGCACTGGGCTGTGATGGCAGCACGTCTCTTGTGTCCTGGCTGGACGGCCTCGGCCTGCATGAATATCTGCCCAACTTTCTTTCTAGTGGCTACCGCACACTGGAGTGTGTCAAGAACCTGTGGGAGCTGGAGATTATCAATGTGAGAAGCCTTCTCTTACATTTATTCACTGTTTCAATGTCAATGGAGGAGAACAAAAATGTTCAGTGTCTTATGACGATGGACTGTCTCTTTGTGAATCATCTCCTTAATCACAATTATGTCTCCGTTAATAGAATATGTTTGAGGTTGATACAAACTTTAAAATGCAATGCTGAAGTAATAAAAGTGCCAAATTATTGAAGCATTTTTCATAATACTATAGGAGAAATATTTTTAGTATCGCTGAGTAGTAACTGACTGATAGAATGTGAATTATGGAGCCGTATGACAGGTGACAGGAAAATGAATACATTTATTTAGTTTTTATCTTAATCGTGTAACATTTTATGATAATTGGTAATTGCAAAGAGGACTTATTTATTTTGCATTGGAGGTTTTTCGAGAAATGCAATTAGCTATTTGTTTGTGTGCAGGTGTGGATTTGTCTCTGTGCGTCAGTGTGTTATTTTAGACTACAGCATCCTCATGGGATCCCAAGATAAATCAACATGATTAACTGGACAGGAAAGAAAAAAATCTATCATGCTTTGCTACAAAATGACCTCTTCCTGACGTTTCTTTAATCTTCAATTTATCATGACATACGGGCTTGGTAATAAGCACCATGCAGACATGAAATTGTGGATGTTTTGACAGGCAAACAGATGATCTGATCTGGTTGATAAGCACTCACAGACGGCAGTTTACGGAGGTGATATTTCCCCCACTTATCTCTGCATCTTAATGTGTTTCATTGTGATGAACACAAAGAAAATGGCAGAAACCAGCCATAGCTGCAGCATCAGCACAGCAGGAAAGCAGCAGCCAAATCCACTGTATATGCAGTATGTGAGGGAAGGAGTCCAGCACACTGCGATGGCGATGCAGTAAAGAAAGATGGGTGTGAGAGCCGAGCACATTACTTTCAGTGTGCAGAGCCGCCTGTGAGCTTCCTGGCAGGACTCCCATTACATTTCATCCTCTTCAGCATCTTAGGATCAACCATCTCTGAAGTTTATATTTGATCTACAGTATGAGCTGGTGTACATTCTCAGATAATCCCAAGGCTCTTTATTAGTATTTAAATGTTCTCTTCTTTTACACACCTCATGCACACTGGTCTCTCTGGGATCCTGCTAAAGGGAAACGGCAGCAGCCCACAGACCAGTTGCCTCATCTGCCTCCGACTCTCACTGAATACATCATTGAAGCCTTCAGACAAAGAGTCATACGAGCCTGTTATAGAATGTTTTGCAGCTGCAACATAATTGCGAATGTAACATTAATCACTCGACATCCACCTTTACTGGATGAGCATGAATGTTAATAGCCAATTATGCAAATATACAGAATTAAGATAATGAGTTTTGACTACAGTAAATTAACCCTTGCTCCCTCCTTTGAGGGTTTTATCCACACAAGCAGATCTGGCATTTGTAAAAGATTTAAAGAGACAGCGATATCGTGGATATGCGTGTGTCAGGGGAACTTGCAGTGGTGAAATATTGTTAATTAAAAAACAAATTGAAATTCTGACTAATTAAGAGAATTTGTTCGATGGAGCCTTTGAAAATCCGTTTTTTTTGCATATTACTTCTTATCCTCCTGTAAATTGCCAAATGCTTCTCTGTTATTTAGGAACCATGTTCAAAAATGGATTGTGAATTATAGTGTCCCAGGAAAGAGACAGTACTGTACTTTAAGCTTACGGCAAAACAGATTGAGGCTGAATTATTGAAGAGCGTCATTTCTGTTTGCCTGTGGATGCCTGCCAGTGAGGGTTGCATGCCACAAACTCTGTCAGTGTGTTTTGGATGTATCTCTATTAGCTTAGTCTAAGTAAATGCTTGTGTTCGCAATGTGACAATGCACTGGAAGGTCTTATGTTGTGTCCTCTCCAGGTTATAAAGATTGGTGCCCTGGGCCACAGGAAGAGGATCATCGCCTCTCTAGCAGAGAGACCCTATGAAGAGGCTCCGTCCAAGTCCCGTCGTCTGTCTCCAATTATGGTAAGACTGGTGATGTGGACATTTTAACACTGTCTCGTAAAAAAAAATGACCTTCCCATAGAAATAAACTGAATTCTCAATGACATTATGACGGAAACCTGGCTTACCTGGGTTAGGGTTTTCCAACACAAATGGAAACAAAACAAAAACTTCCCTTGGTTAATTTTAGTTAACAAATCTACTTGGTTAGGTTTCGTAAAAAGATCATGGTTTGGCCCAAAATAATTATGTTTGTCTAGTTGTCAAAGTTACAGACTTAAATTAAAAAATCAAGTCCTTTGTTGGTTTGACACATTCATCCCCCCAAACATCATTCCTACATGTGGTTTGGGAAATACAGGTGGGAACATGCAGTTCCCAGTCACAGTATTTAGCTTTTCACTAGGTGGCACTTGACACTAGACTTTGCTCTATCTACAAAAACAGAGCAAAGTCCGCATATCTTTTTTTCCAAAGCACCTAAAGCACCACCATTGTTAATCAGACTGCAGCATTGTTAGTGCTGCTATTTAACTAAGTGCAGAATAATAGTCAAAGCTCATTTGGTTAATGGATTGGGTGTGCTCAATATGCCCAATTAAAAGGGCTGTTCTGCTTATGGCTTCAATACAACCCATATTTAGTGTCAATGATGTTTATAATAAATACTTTTGAAAAAGCATAGGATGGAAGTTAAACAACATTTCTAGACAAGCTTTATTTTTACGCCAACATAATTTTGTGAGAAAATGGAACCCACTGTTTTTTTTCTAGAGGCGGATATCTAATTTTGGAATGAGATTCTTCAATATCATTATGTTCACAACAGTTAAATACTCAGGGCTGATTTCCCAGGCAGATTAAACCGGGCTAAAGAAAATTGAGAATCTCCACGGAAGAGGCTCTTTTGTCGGGGATTAGGCTTGGATGTAGATCAGGAAAACCAGCCCATGTAGACAGTGCTGTCAAATAATTAATCTAGGCTTTTGTGTGACTGTGGGTTTGTCTTCTTTTGTTGTGTGGCAGTTCCATGACCTCCTGTCCCAGAACACGTCTCCCCTCAGTCAGTTGGACCCGTACACCAGCCGCTCCATGGACATGCTGCTGCCCTTGACTGAGTCGGACCGGAGGAGAAGAGCGGTGGATCAGGACTGTAGTGTTTCCCTGCGGTCGTACAGCGAGAGGCCGCGCTCTGTAGTGAGTTTCAATTCCCTTCACTTTTAAAGTCTTCTGGGAAAAAACTACCAAGCACACTTTGGGTGAGCGACTGGCTGAATAATAGAGGAGGATAATGTTCAAAGTTAGATGTGTCAGGGTGTCTTGTCACACGTTGTTGCTGGAGTTGTATTCACATTTTCTCAAACGCAGAGTAGTTCTGCAAAAATAAACCTTCATGGTTGAGTTAAATCTTAGTGGGCAGACACAAAGAGCCACAAAACCATCAGACTGTAGCAAAATAAAAACTGCTAAGGGGGTAATGGGGGTTAGGCGATGTGACAATGTAAAGTACAGCACTGTGAGATCATATGAATGGCCGGTCATCCTTTTGTAGCTATCTTTTTAATATATCTGTCTGGATAAGGCCATAGAAAATGAGAACAAGGTAGGATTACTGCAGGGTTAGGGTTACATAACGAAAGGGGAGGACTGTAAAATAACATATTCTAGATGTCCTCAAGAGACTTCTATTAATGCATGGTGATATGGATTTATTGAAAAAGAAGTGTTGCAAATTTGATATAGAAAATGTATTTGATAACATTACTCCTATGCAAGGTAATGAACTCTGAAGTGTTGCATTATCTCAGACAAAACTCTTCAAATATGTCAAATAAAAACTTAAATGACTAATTTATGTCTTCTAAGTCGTTGAATAAGATCATTCATTTCGATTTAAATATTTTCAAATATTAATGTTAAAACATGACAGTCATGAATTATTGTTCTACCTGCGATTTTTTTCAATCTAGCCATAATATATCTGTTCAAGTAATCTGTTAGCTACTGCAGCACATTACATCTCCATAATAAAATCCATAAAGTTCAGCTTGGAGCATGCAAGTTAACCTACTTTTTCTAGCGCATTGTGGTTTTTGGCTCCATTTAAACTCACCCTCAACAGCTCTGATGTAAGAAATATTAAAAATAAACATTTTATAAACATACAAATTCAGTTAAGCATTTCATTTGCCTCCCTGAATTTCTTAGGTTTCTATATTAAATATTTTTCGTTAATCAAAGGTTATCATTTGCTAAAGGTCAAACCACGACATTATGCACAAACAGTTAATCTGGCATGATTAATTTCCTACTCACTAAGGTCAAAGAGAAAACACAGACACGCGTACAAAGATAACACCCCCACCACTCAGGAGCCATTATATTTTTTAATCAATACTTATCTTTTTTATAAATGCTTAGTGGATAATTGTCAGTAGTATATTTTACTCTGATGGGTGATTTATGAAAGAGCTGAGCCCAGTTATGTGCATGAATAGTTATGAGTATAACAACAGATCACACAGGACTCACACTAAAGTGCTGACCGAGCAGACTTCAGTTGGCTTCATAGCAATACCCAGCAGTCAGAAGTCTAATATGCTCAGAACACATTGATCATCAGTGTTGCTTGACTGACTGAGGTGTGCATATGTGAAGAAAAGTGACCCAGCAGAAGAAACTCAGAGGATGTCCCTGCCCTAAAGTATTTTATGTCACAATAATATTTGTGATTTTGATTAATTCATAATTGTGTAGCTATCTCTTTAATATATTTGGATATAATAGAACATGTTTGAAAGTGTTGGAGAAGGATTTTTATATTATTTTTGCATCAGCATGATTTGTCTGTATTTTATATTCTATTACTTCAAAACAATTATATCACGGAAGGATTTAAGGTTGTATTTGACTGAATTCGTTTTAGCTAGGTATAGCTAATAAACTGGAAACTGAGTATAGGTAGATGCAGAGGGGGGACTGATGTAAAACCTCCTCAAGGTCTACCTGCTAGATCTCTATTATGGCTTCTGGATATGGAATTATAAAAATATCAGTTCCTATGCCCCTTATAGAATCATTTAGTTTATTTGATGTCGTCAATGTGAATTGTGTTTTTTTCAACCAATGATTTTGCCTCCCTGCAGGACAGACAGAGTGAACGACAGAAAGACTCTCGTTTAAACCTCCGGCCTCCGAGCCAGTCTGCTACCTATGCCACGGTGTCCGCCTGGCATCACCAGCCTGAGAAGCTCATCATGGACTCCTGCGGATACGAGGCCACCGTAAGTCACTTCTTTTTTAAAAAAAAAGGTATTTTCGGGCCAGAGGGCCTATATGAAGAACTTAGAGTGAAAAGGACACTATAAGTCCTCCCCTCTGTCTTAAAGAGACAGAGGGGAGACAATTGCATGGATTGTTCGGCCAGTTTAGGTTTTGAACTGGCCTATAGTGACTGCATATGGGCCGTCGCTCTAACCGCTGAGCTATCCGGTGGCCCCGTATGTCACTTTTTACTGTCTTTAGCTTGGAGGCAGAGATACTGTTCCTATACAATATAGATGACAGAACCGCCTGCCATTGCATAAAATAGTTTGACAGGGATATTTAATTTTATATACTGCATCTAGTTGTTCCATTGTATATCGTTGATTTGATATGTGTGTTCGACTCTCTCCCAGTACCTAGGATCAATGATCATCAGGGATCTACGAGGGATTGAGTCCACACAAGATGCCTGTGCTAAAATTAGGGTAAGTATTACTGAACAAAGATGTGGATTTATTTCTTCTAATTTGAATTGCTCTGAGGAACAACTCAGAAGTGTTTAATACATTTCACAAAATAAAAACAAAAATATGAAATGACAAGGTGACAAGAACACATACAACTGACAATTACTTTTCCCTGTATAATCACTTCCTAAATAATATCTCTGTTATTACATTATTGTTGCACTGTTTGTTAGGAAGAGCCAAATGCTTGTCCTGTTGTTTATATTCACATTTTAATTGTGTCCATTACAGAAATCAAAGGATTCAAGAAAGGGTCCAGTAGTCATACTGTCCATTACCTACAGAGGGGTCAAGTTTATTGATGCAGCCACGAAGGTAATGTGAAAGTATGTGTGTGTATAAGATTGTGTGCGTCAGTGTGTATCGATCTGTCCGCAAACATTGCAGTGGACTCGCTCAGTCTCCATTAGCGCTTGATTTCCAGTAGGAACTCACTTCCTTCCTTTCTCCATTAGACTATAGTGGCGGAACATGAGATCAGGAACATTTCGTGCGCCGCCCAAGATCCGGATGACCTCTGCACTTTTGCTTACATTACCAAGGATCTGAAGAGTGGACACCACTTCTGTCACGTCTTCAGCACAGTGGAAGTGGTGAGTGCATCCTGTTAGAGTAAGAATAATATAATTATGTCTGTAACTGTTCCGTGTAATCCATCGAGGAAACCCAAACATCTCTACATCATTCTTGAGCTTTTGAAAAATTCCTTCCACCATAACTTCGAAAAAACAAAGTGCCATTTGTGGGTTATCTGGTATCCTGCAGTCAAACCACATGCAGCATACTGTGGACATTATTCCCTTGATTGATTCATCAAATGGCTTGATTGAAGTTCCTCTCCCGCTATGCATGGCATTTTTATGTACAGGCACAGATTATGTTGTAATTCGTGTCTCATGTTCTGTAAAGGTCAAAGACAATCTTTTATCTTTGGCAGGTGGGCCACTGAAGCATCCCATAACTGCAGGGAATCTGTTTTACTGAATGATGATCAAAGTTTTCACCGGTTTTGAACTTCACTCATTTGTAACACGACTGCTCCTTGGTGCAGAATGTCTTTTTTTAACATCGCTTTTGCTTTTCCCTAAACATGTGCATGATATTTAAACGAGCCAAAATATAATTATACAGTTATTATCCAAAAAATTTGAAGAGCAGTGTGCCATGGCTCTTTTTTTGTGTGAAGCACAATTAATCGCTGATAATTTAGAAACTAAAGAAAATAATGGTTACTCTAATCAAGTCATAAATCATTGGAATTAAACTTAGAGTAGATTTTAATCCTCTGAACTACTTGATACGAAAACACGAATACCAAATGTTTAGTCACGTCCTTGAAATGTTAGGCTTTTAATTAAGGTCGTTAAATTAAATAACAAGATGCCACGTCAAGATCAACATGTGCAAATATCAGTTTAATCGCATAAAAGGACAACCCTGAATTACATTTAGCAAAGCCCAATTCTGAAAGACTTTGCTAGTCATTTCTTCCTAGCCTTCTTAAAGTTCTCCACGGCTTCAATGAGTGTCAGACATAATTACATTCAGCCAAGCATAAAAGGTTTTCATGCCCATTGAAGTATTGAATTTAAAAAGCAAACTCTATTGAACTGGCTGTTGTGTGTAGTGGTGATTGTGTCATTTACGTGTTGTAAAACCCGTTGTTTTGTGTCACTTAACACCAGCTTCAAAGGTTGATGTTTAACTTTTATTAAAAATGATTGACCTAACTTTATATCCGGTGGTGAATTTGATTTCAACACACTTTTTCGACAATATTTCTTTCCTCCACACAGACACAGACATATGAGATCATCCTCACCCTTGGGCAGGCGTTTGAGGTGGCCTATCAGATGGCAATGCAGTCGAGGGCGAGACACTACGTCCCGCCTACATCTCTGCCCTCGGAGGTCATAGAGACCAAAACCAGCCGCCCTGTGTCTCAGTCGTGGAACAGCATGCGGAGATCAGCAGTGAGTACCACCCTACAACTCTTCAGGAAAAACTTGGTGTGCACTTATTATCTGTGAGCGTGAGTGTGCTCTAGTTGTTAATGGGACAAGGAGTTGTACAATCATAATTAAGAATAGGTACGCAGATCTCATGACCGACTTTTTCCCAGTGACTTAATCCCCAACGGGCCACCTAGAGAGGAATATTTGCTGTGTGTTGTGATGAGTCATGACTTTGCTGGCAACTTCATCCCGCCCACTCCTCAACGCTTAGTCATTCAGAACAGGCACGATTCTTCTTTTTTTTTTGCACATGTGAAACATGATGAATGAATACTTTTATTTGTTGCGGGTATATGATTTCCTCTGGGACTTCCTGAAGTCTGGTGGTTAGACCTATGATTCTTCACTATTGATCGAGCGATTTTTGTAAATGTTCACGTATAGCCTCAGCTGTGCATCAATGCTTTGACTTCGCTGCACAGCCGGGAGCACGCACACTGCTAGACCACATAGACACAATTCACTTTGTTTTACTACCTGCCTGTAAGGATAATATATGGAGTAATCACAGATCTGCATAATGAGTCTCGCTGGTTGTTTGATTTTTAACTGAGAGGGGGGAGACGCCTATCTGCTTCAATTTGTTTTAAGGTTTTTTTTATGGCTCTGTAATGGCTTCCAAATCAAACGTTGGTTTGAACAGACTGTGACAGCCGCACACTTATTTAAAATGTTTCTCAAGGAGAGATTGACAGTTAGATAAGCCCCTCTCTCGCACAGCGTGTATGCTGTTTGCAATGATAACCGTTACAGATTTACCACTTTAAATTCCTCTGACAGAGATGTATTTGATTGGCTAAAGAATAAACTGTTGTGTTGACTGGCTACTTGTGAAACAATCCAGTCAGACTTTATCTCTCGAGTCCATTCTTGCATCTCAAGTTGCTTATCAGGAATTATCTTGGCCCGGATATCCGTTGCCTTCAAGTTTATTTTTCCTTGGTAGTCGGAGGCATGGCCCACCCTGCTCCGCCTCTGATTGGCTTTGAAGTTGTTGCCTTTTGTTATTTGGATTGTTTAGTGGTGGCATGAGGGGTCATAGGTTATAGGCTAAGGGTAAGAATATCATGGTAAGCCACTCAGAGGCAGAGCATGAGGTTAATGTCTTTGCCATCCTAGGAAAAACTAATTTGCACAGTATAAATATAGCTAGTTAGCTAATTAAACTAGTGATAGCTCCATTAGTTTACTGTAAAGGAAGTACTGTAAATGGATCATAATTTGATTGCTACAAACATTTATGTTCTGATGTTTGGAGGTGCCTATACCACTAATGATTGATTTAGTAAAGTCAGATTGCTAATATGACTACTCTATATATTTGTGAAGAAAGAAAGTGAAGAAAGAGACAACAATGGGTCACTAATTAAAAATGGAAAGGTAAAACAAAATTGTAAGATGACCAGCGCATCTGCAGGATGTATTCTTCATCCCTGTCATGCAACGCTGTGAGGACATGGACAAAATGGAGTTATTAATGATTTAAGTCTTGACTTTCCTACTTAGGCTTAAGTAAGATACACTAAGTCATCCTGGCTGCTTATTGTGTGCTGGCAGTGTAGTCCTATCCATTTTAGATTTTTTAAATCTACATTCTAGCCTTGTTTTTGCCGTCAATCATAATACTTGTTGATATAGTCACAGTAAGTGTTTGATGTCATTGCTGTCATATTGTCTTGTAGTCGTGGACAGAAAGGTAATTGACAAACATATTGTTGGTCATAGTTTGTGTTTATGAACTGCAAACTGTCCTACACTCAGATTGTCCAGGAGAAAGCTTGATAGACCTGCGTTACAGTGGAAGATTATAGCAAAATAAATGTTACTATTCCAAGACACAAGAAGTAAAAGACTATATTTTTGCCTTAGCACAGATGATAAACTGCTACCACTAAGTCTTCTCTGTCCCTCTTTACTCTCTCGTTTTTTTTAACATGTCTTTGTTCTTGTCTTCTTGGTCCTCCTGCCTCCCAGGGTGCCCCTCCGCTCGAATGCCGCTGCTGTCACTGTCACACGTGTACTACCCACCGCCCCTCCTTCCTCCCGTTGCACTCTGTTAGCCCCGGAGTCCAGGTCCTTCTCTTTCCTTTCCTCTATTCAACCTGTGATCACCTCACACATCTGCTTACACACCCCCCCCCCCCTTTGGTTTCTGTTGTGGTGCCGCAGCGGGCTTTGTCTCCTTGTTTCGTGGTTCTTAGTCTTTCCTCCATTAACGTTCTCCTCATCCTTTTACTTTCCCATCGCTCATCTTCATCTGACATGTTAGGGTTGTAGTTGCAATGAGTGGTAGGGAGAGGGTCTTTTGATGTGATCCACCTTCTCTATATTAGCACGGTTTGCCCAATTGTGTCAATTAGGGTCAAGATGGTGGAAGTTGTCTTTGTGGATGGTTTTAGCAGTTTTCCGTCACTTTTCATAGTTCTATCTTTATAAGACATGTTGTTAACAGGGAATCTTAACATTTAGAAACCTTTCTTGAGATTACTTTGAACCATTTTTAATTCATAACAAGTTCATCAGTGTTAATGATGTGTGTTTTGACCACTTATATTCTGTTTGTTTGTCCCGCTGGTGGAGAGCACATGTTGCTTTTGAACTACTAATCAGTTTATATGTTTACCTCCCAGAGGCTAGCTTTGGTTCACAGAGTGTGTTTCCTGTCAGACATCCTCCATGTTGTGGATTGAGTGTCTGTGATTATAACACGATCACCGGACCCCACCTCTAATCCACGTGCACCTGTGTGAGCCGAGGACTTCTGTGTCAGTCAGTGTGGCGCTGTGGCCTTCGTCTCACGCCCTCCTCTCGTCCCTCCTCCCTCCCTCCCCCCGGCAGATGGACCCCCTGGAGATGGACGCAGACATGCACTCCATGGGCAGCACCACCTGGCTCTTGGACCAGCGGGACTCCCACAGGCGCCCCGTCAGCACCAAGTATGAGACCACCATATTCTGAGGCCGGACCCCTGCAGCCGCCCCTCTGCACTCCCTCGTACTTTCTTCTCCCCCCTGCATCCGGGTCTTTATTTAACTCTCACACACACTCATACATGCAAGCCCCGTGCCTTCTCACTGTGATGGTATAGCATCCCTCAGGGCGCCCTACTCCTGCACCCCCCTCTGCCCCGCCCAGCGACCCACGCCGACCTCTCTTTACCTGCAATGACAAAACACTCCTGCGGCCCCCCCTCGGTACACCCCCCGGCAGCCTCCCTCCCTATTGCTGCTGCAGCCGATGGCGGAGCCCTGGAGCGGATGATCCTGGACTGATCTCATTTTACAGTGGCCCTGCTCTCTCGACCAAACTGCCTCTTCCTCCTCCTCCTCCTGGCAACTTGCATCTGCCTCAAAATCCCCGATAGCTCCCAGAGGTTGCTTCTTTATTGTTCTTCTTCTTTCACACCATTATTTTTTCTTTATTGATTCTCTGCAGGCAAAACAAGCGTTTTCATATGATTTGATTAGCTTTGTATCTAGATTAACATTGGGTTTGTTAAATGTACAGAAATTGTAAACTTGATAATATTGGGTAAGCTAAAAACGTGTGTTATACCAAAACAGCCAGTGTGTTAAGCTGTTAGAGGAAACATTTTGTTTTCTTGCAGAGATAGGAATATTGATACCACTCTCAGGTCTGTACAGTAAATATGAAGCTGCAGCCAACAGCCAGCTAACTTAGTGTATCATAAAGACTGACAAAGCTAACGTGGCTCTATCCAAAGGCTGAACAAATATCCAAGGTTTTGTACACTTAAGCACAAAACGTAAGACATTTTCAAATATGTCAGCTATTGTACAAGGACCATAATCAATTATTTGTTATCCATAAACTCACAACAAGTTGAATATCAAAGATATGCTAATGTACAGTATAAAGTATAACAAATATTTAATATGGAAGTATATTTATTTAAAAATCCTGACCTTGACAATCCAATTTTCCATGGGATTTAATGACTTCCAAGTTGTATTGTTAGATAAGTGACTCTAAACTATATACAGTATAATACGGCAGTCTTTGAGAACAAATGGGTTTTACAAGTAACTCACTTTAGAAGCTTTAGAGATGCTGGCATGTGGATTTATTTTCTAACCAGCTCGAATTAGATTCAATTGCTGCTAACCTTAGCTAGCTGGCTGCTAGCGTTGCTTCATATTAACCATGCAGACGTTTGAGTGGTATCAATATAATAACTCTAACTTTAACGTGTCATTTTGAAATAGCAAAAAACAAACGTTTATTCTGTAAAAACTATTTTTGAAAGTTTATTTTATCACCTTTAATTTCAACATTTCTGAATTGTTTTTGTGATTTTGCCTCACAGACAGTTATTTATTTTGTTCCTTTCTCCATCTTTAGCCTGTCCTGTCTCACCAGGCATCTACCACTGTGAGGCACTAAGAGGAGGCTGCTTTGATAAGCATGGGATGAAAGACGGACATTTAAATCAATGAAAAGACAAAACAGCAACATGAAGCAAACAACCTGTTGTTTTTCTACGCATTTGTACAATACTCACAACACCACCATGGATTGGATTGGTCGTGAACCTATCATGGATGATGTCTGGACTCATGTGGACCAAGAACTGAACCCTCGTACACACACACACACACACACACACACACAGGAACTTTCCTACACTTTACCGAGGACAACAGCCTTACGTCATTTAGGTTATCTATAATCAACTAAAGCCCCCGACCTTGCTGAATATCATCACTACCCAACAACTGCACGCCTCCCCCTGCTTTTAAAAGACTGAAAAGAAGACGCCTCTTCTCATTTCCTGGTGTGTTTGTTGACTGACCGTCCGAACGACGTTCTTGATGGTACAGTTTTGTCCATATGAGAGTCGTTGCTCTGGCCTTTGACTGCCCTGCAGTCTCTCAGCATTCATGGTAGCACCGAGAGACTGTTTTAATCACAGTATCTTCTTTGTCAATTTAAAAAAAAAGAATATCACTGTGTTGAATCGTGGCACTATCCCTTTTAATACCATCTTTTCTTTGGTGCATTTATAAAGTGCTTTTTGATAGACTGGGGTCGATTGAAAGGAAAGCGTGATTTAAGGAAGGGATCACAAAGGATCCAATCATTGAACACACCACCAAAGAAAGTGTACTGACATTAAATCTCGCAATTTTGGTAATCGCAACCAAAACAACGTCCTCAAACACATTTTCCCATTTGTATTTTAATGAGCCCGGAGCACAATTTGGCACAGATTTCCTAACATAGCATCCTATTATTATGATTACATGGGTAGCTATCCGTGCTGTTTCACACCAATTTTAGAATTAGCTACAGTACATGCAAAGTATGTCACTTGAAGATAAACGGCAGTGAAAAGATTTAATTCCACTACATAAAAAAAAGAGCCAAATCCTAAGTGTTGCTCTGTTAATGCGAATGGATTTTTATGCTGGGAACATGACACAGTTTTTTGTGTTTAGAAACAAATGAATTTCCCTCCTGCACTGTGACTCAAAATGCTCGTTGTGGAGTTGACGCGTATCTGTGGGTCCTCCCCTGTTTGCACTTCCTGCTGTATGCCTGGTTTCTGTCTGTCCTCATGGGAGTTTGGACTGCTGCTGTTTACATCCCGTCCACTGTCCTTGTTTCTGTGTGAGGCATTGAGCTCGTCTCCACTGACTGTTAAGACGGTCTGTGTGCGGTGCCACTCTGTTCTGACTGTTAGCTTCCACTGACGATGCATGCTGGCAGTGTTTCTGTGTTCTTGATGCACTTGGCCTAAGCAGTCTCTGTTTGTACTGTAGCTGTGTCTCGTCTCTCTTCGCTCATCTCGCCATTTGCTTTTTATGTTCCCTCCTCTCGACACCAACACCGCGCGATTCATCCCCATCCCTCCCCATGTTTCCACTGTCCTCCCAACACTTTGTATATTTCTTCCATTTTCTGTGTCACCAAGACAACCTGCTCTAGTATGGATGAAAAAAAAAAGAAGGCATTACACTTTAATGAGCAGCAGCTATTTAAAGCAAGTTTTGGTGGCATGATTTTGACTGTGCATGTACCAGTCTTTTTTAACATCAATGTTTTCCTTGTGTAGCTCACCCCATCGTTCAAGTTTCCGGATACCAAGCTGTGAGTTGAAGGGGAGCAGCCGATGTGAGTGTGTGTGTTGTTGTTAGAGGGCAGAGCGGAGGGAAAAGAGGTAGAGGAAATGAGAGGTAAGCCTAATGCAACGTGCAGGGCCAAACAGCTACTCTGACATTTATATCTCACTCTGTATATCCCCTGCTCCTCCACCGGCCCCATATCAACCCCAACACACAGACGAAAGGTAACCCCCCCACCACCGGCTATACGGGACCCGTGTATCACTCCTGTCTCGAGTAATCAGAAAGGGTCAGTCTATTTCCTGGCCTCCATGTGGCTTTCTGATCTCGTCATGTAGGTACTGTTATGTTTAGAGCACTGTAGACCACTAATGAGCATTTCTATTGATTCAGGTCTATTGGAGATAGAAACGGTGGGAGTTGTTAAGGAGAAAACAGAAATGTAACGACGTGTAGAGAAAAAGAAAAAGAAAAAAAACTGTACCAGCATACAATGCTTTGCCCATGTTTGTGGACAGAGTATGGTTTGTCAATGAAAATGTGATACTGTTTCAAATTTCAAAGCAATATTATATTAATGAAAAATTAAATAATACAATGACAAAACAATCCCTATCAAGTCTGTTGTCAGCTTTGGTTTTGCATTATGGCTCAAAAAGTCAATCACAGAAGGAAACATAACACCGTCTGTTTGAAAGGTAAAGTGACAAACCTGTTGGGTAATATTTAACAATTATACTTTCAGTGTTTCCCCTGAAGTAGAACATTTAATGTATAATGTCAACAAACAATCAGTCTTGATGTGTGCCTACCATGGTTTGGATTACACATTGAGAAACTGAAACGTTGACTTTAATTAAAGATGTTGTGTCAACAGATTTCCCACAACTGTATTAAGTTAGTTGAAAGCAATAACATTAAGTTTGACGAAAAAACATTAATATTATTGTCAAGTCACAGAGCTAAGCTTTTGATTTGTGTTTTTAAAAAAATATTCTGCTGTGTTGATGACATTTTCAGAATCCTCAAATCTCATTTAAACCTACAGTAACTTTCTATACATGTAAATGACTATACATGTGTTGAATATGTTCTTGAGTTGTCAACTAACACAATCTTAAATGTCACCAATTATTTTTCCAAACCTTGAGAAATCCCTTATTTTATTCAACGTAACAGTCCATTTCATTGAGTCTCCTGTACTCACAACGTGTGCTTGTTCAGCGTATATAACATTGTGTTTCTCCACTAAAAGTCATATATTGTCTTTTCAAACTATTTAAAGCCACATTTTTACGATGCATTGTTGAAGAAACACTGATTTTCATCATCTAAAACTGCTCAACATAAAATGACCAGGTGTTCAAGAGAGTGCCATGTAGTGCTGTTTAAGCTCTGAGTTTGTCTGCTTTTGTGTTAGCTCTGTCGTTTTAAGTGTATCCAGTCATTGTTTTCCCAGGATATTGTTTAAAACATGAATTGAGGGAAAAACGGTGATTTCTTAAATAATGTATTAATTATATTTTTCATTTGTATGGTGGATTGAATCGTGGCTGCCGAAGAATGGAAAATATTTGTACAAATAGGAGCCTGTTTAGTACACCACCTTCCACCTATAGCACCTACTGAAGGGGAAAACACTGAGTATAGTTTTTGGTTAGTAACTAAAGGTGTAAAAAACATAAATTCAGGAAAAAGTACTCACCGTCATAAAAATCTGTCTTCATTAAGATAAGAAGAGAACCCAGCTACATATTAAAAGTATTATTTACAAACTCTAAGCATCATCTTTGGTACTTGATGCCTTTCCTGAGGCATGAAGTAAACCAACAGATATGGTTTTCAGTTAGTTGACCTTTTCCAAAACATTTCTAAAGCACTCTCGTGTTATGACTTTTTTCAGTAACGCACTGAAACTACTTGCTACTCTTGTCCAGGTTAAAAACTGTAACTCATTATGTTTCATTCAACTGTTTTCTTAATGTTTTGTGCATTTAAATGTGTGTTTGAGATGCATCAATGCAATAATAGTTAAGATCAAGCTTGGATTTATACCTTTTTTTGACATATATAATAATATATATTTTGTCTTTCTGCTGCAGACTGTATATGTCTTTGCTTTGAACACTTGTTGACAGTATTAACATTCGGTAACAAAACATTCAAACAGCACCTCATGCTGAGGTTCACCAAGGGGGGGGGGGGGGCCTCTCCCGGGGGACCAGCAGTTTCCTGAGGATGGGAGCGTAGAAGGGACTGAAGACGCTTCTGTTGAAGTGGACGATTCGCCCAAAGGCCGTCCCCCGCTCTGTGAGCTCTGCGCTCCCCAGCCCGGGGGGGTAGGCCGCTCTGGACTCGCTTTGCCGGGACCGCCCTGCAGCAACGCCCCGAGGAAGCCTTGTACCCTCTCTCCTGTTTGACCGAGGGAGGGGGAGAGAGCAGGAAGGAAGGTTGTCTCTCTGCAGCAGCACACAGTCCTAAAAACACATGTGGAAATGTGATGACCCAGACTAAAGGACATTATAACGCATGTTCTTTCCTACGGATAAAAATATACTACCATCAACATCCCGCACTATTCTGTGAATATTTCTCCAAATATTTTAGTAATTATACTCTGCTTTCAGCTCCTCTTGCTGCTTTCTTTTGTGACATTTAAGCGCAAACTAAATCATTTTATGTATTTTTTGTAAAAAAGTTAGCATCCATCGATGGATGAAAGAATTTTCTGGAAAATGTCTTGCAAGGCATGTTGCTCTTGTTGTGTAATATTGATGCATCCCCAAACTAATAGATACAAGAAACCCTGCCCTAAATTAGAATTAATATAACCAATATCCAACTATCTAAGTACTTGAAAACTTAAATGTGAATTTGTATAATTTTCCATGATGTGTCCCGCTGCTGTGCTCAGCCTGACCTGTGAGAGTGTGGACAGGGTGGCTCACAGATGTGTCCTCTCAGCAGATCCTGCTCCCCTGAGGCAGCCGCCCCCCCCCCCCTGGCCGCTCACAGCTCCGGTCACCAGCTGCTGCAGCAGCCCCCCCCCCCCCAGCAGCACCCCCCTCAGGTCGGCTTCACCAGTAACCAGCGTTAGAGCAATTAGCAGCAGGATCATTAGACGTGAATTATGTCAGGCCTATAAATGTATCCACTCAATAAATAAGGGTTTTTAATATGTCTCTCTGTGAGTTAGATGATATAAAATAATGCTTTAGTGAAGGGTTAGGGAAGTAGCCTGTGCTACATTGTATTGCGGCTCGGAGTGCGAGCAGGCCTTGATATGACACGCTGCTGTTCCACATGTATCCACTAATCATGACGAGGCTTCTCTTGAACAGAAAGAATGAGGTTAGCTGAATCTGTTCTGACAAGCTACTTTCCTCCTGTCACCTCCATTGGTTTCCTTCTCATACGATACCTGTTCCCCGTGACAGTCAGTACATGCATAACCAAACCCTCCTCTTACCTGCTGTGACTGCCCTCAGCACCCTGACGTACTGCCTGAGTTTACCCACAAACCCCTGGGCTGGTCAGGGTCAGCACCGACGCCTCCAGGGCCGACGGCTGCAGCCGCTGGGCCGGAGCATCGAGGCCGAGGCGGTCCATCAGCACCGTCTGTGTGTGGGGGGGAGAGGGTTAATCACAGTTTAAATATGAGCCTATACAAAGAAACTAACACATCTTGATGACATCATTGCGGATCCCATGGAAAATGTTTCACTGGATATTCTACAAGAAGGTTGCCAAGATGGGGTACTGTTGCATTTGGAAGGGGGCACGTGTAAATTGAAAATTGAAAAAAAAAGCTAATTTATAAAATAAGAAAAGATTAAAAATCCATTGGATAAAACTTAAAAATAATCGATACAACACTCAAATAGTTAAACGAAGTCTTACACCCCAAAGTCCTAAATATCTTGTTCCATTATATTTAACAGAAGGCGCATATCTGTACCTCCTAAACTCAGCAAACCATCAAAACAATATAGATTTATAATTTAAAATCATAAGCACAAGAGATAAGAGGAAAAACATATATATTTTATTCGGGGGTGAACCGTATTAGTGATAAATGTTTAAAAAAAATTGAAAAAACTTTTTATACAGTATATAGATGAAATTGCTAGTTAATAGCAATAGTATAGTGAACATGTTTGAAACATTAGGCTGCACTAGTTCACTCCATGTGGGAGCAATACGAAGGCAAACATGACCACCTCAAAATTCAGTTTAATTATAGAAAGACTTTATTGTAGGCTGAAAATATCCACCTTTAAATAATGGATAGTGTTAAGTAACATGGAGAAAAGAACACATTTGAAACATGATGCTGATGAAGGAGTGCTTGAGTTGATCTGACAGGGCTGTGTCAGAACAGCAGGCTGCCCTCTAATGTGTCACATGCTGCAACACGAGGATGAGGAGGAGGAGGAGGAGGAGGAGGAGGAGGAGGAGGAGGAGGAGGAGGAGGAGGGGGAATATATAATATACAAGGTAACTGTATTTGATTACAAGGACATTCAAAAAATAAGTAATCAGATCACTGTCACATTTTTCCAAAATAGGGATTACTAGCAGGATTGGCGGTGGTGGCTTGGGAACTGGAAGGTCACCATTTCTCAAGTCCCCAAAAGACCAAGTGCTACCGAGGTGTCCCTAAGCAAGGCACTGTTCCCTACACTGCAAACAACTCCCCTCTGTGGCACTATTAAGGGTATATACATTAATTAACTTACATTTTTTACACAACATTTTGAACTAAAGATCAATATACAGTATATTAAAGGTAGATATACTGAATGAATGGTCTTTATGGTTTATATTTAGGCTATACATATAAACTACTTTAATTCTTCTTTATTTTAATGCAGAAGGTGGACACCTGATTTTTTAAACAAAAATACAGTCTATGCTTTTAATGAATGTCATTTAAGCTTAAACAGCATTTGTAAAGTATTACTGTTACTACATTCCTTCTTTTCTAAGGTAACATTGTTGCATACATTTATTTTCTCCTGTGTTTATTTGCATTACGTTTGATATCAAAGGATCCAAACCTTTATATATATATTAGGGCCGGGACTCGATTAAAATAATTAATCTAATTAATTAGAGGCTTTGTAATTAATTAATCGCATTTTTAATCACATATAAATATTTGACCTGAGAATAGTGAGAAGCAATTTTTTTCACATGGATTTTAGTATACCATTAGGCGCATTCACACCGCAGTACTTTTCCCACAAAGGTTCATGAGAATTTATTTCATGAGAACTCTTTGAACCTGGGGGTGGATTAGGCAAATGAAGCCGCTGACGTCACTTCTTCTTCTTCTGCTTTGGGTTTACTGGCAGGCCGCAAACAACTTCACGGCGTATACTGCCGCCCAAAGTCCCCGGAGTTGGGGACTGGCTTCAGTAGAAGCTGCTGGGAGTCCCAGCAGCCTTCCGAGTAAATCGCCAGAACGCCGACACCTCCTCATCTCCACCGCTCCCATGTTTTATTTTGTGTTGCCATAAATTAGTCTCTCTGCGTTTCTGCGCTGGGCTAATGCTAATAATGCTAATGCGAGGATAATAAAATTCACAAAACGTTTTGGGAGTTTTACGGGGCGTGGTTTGCAATCCGCCCAGCCAATCAGAAATATAGCTCTTTTCTCACAAGAGAGCCGTACGAAAGTCCCTGCTCTCTAGCAGCTCTCTGCTCTCTAGCAGGGACTTTCGTGGGGGTAAAAAGGTTCTCATGAACTAATTTTAGTACCGGCTCTTTTTGGTGTGAACGCGATAAAAGAGGCTAACGTCCACGCTAGCTTCCACGCTAGCTGCTATATGTTTTGCATTGAGGTGATACTTGAGGCTTGATGTGCTGCGGTGATATGCGAATTCCTTTTTGCATAATTTGCACACAACCGTGCTCTTATCGACGCTTCCATCCGTCCGTTTTTTAAAACAACATTTCCCACTGTTGTTCACTGTGGTTTGTTGTTGTCCGAAGTCATGAACGTTAGTTGGTCCTCCAATATAATCGGTACGCCTGAAACTCATCCAGTGAGAAACGTTCCGCGGTGCAAAAATAAGTGCGATTAAAATGCATTAATTTTTTTAACGCGTTAATTTTTGTGTAATTAATTAATCTTAATTAACGCGTTAAAGTCCCGGCCCTAATATATATATATATATATATATATATATATATATACAGTCTATGATCCAAACGCATCGGATATTAGGGGGGGCGGCTGTCAGCCCAGTCACACTGAGCCTCTTCGGATACCGCCGCCTGAAGCCAAGCGGTGGTGTCGTCCAGAACATCTGCAGGGAAACAGTAAAATACACCGTGACGATTGGAAGGCCATGTTTACACATGATTCAGATATGCTGCAATGGCACTAAATCCATGACTAAATCACAAGAGGACTCACATGGTGTTTCAGTGATACAGACATATTGTGTGGGTAGAAACTATGTATTTAGCAGTGGTGGATAGTAACTTAGTACATTTACTCAAGTGCTGTACTTTAGTACAATTTTAAATAATCATAATAACCCAGTAACTCAATAAACATACGATTCTGAAATGGGCCATTACACTTAAAAAAAAAACTTAAATTAGCCAGAGGTCAGCTGCTCGCTCAATCAGAAAGCAGATAAATGGCATGATGGGGAGTGGGGTCAAAATCAGTTTAATTGAAAATGTGAAATATCCAATGACCATGAGTTTCACAGTCACAGAGTCACCGTCATCATCTATCACGAAGATTTAAACACTCTTCCTCACCAGGCCGCTGGTCCAGGATCTGCTAGAAATGTCCCCTCTCGTACTGCTCTGTATCCTGCAGGAGGTTCAGCCTCAGGAGCACGATGATGAGGGTCAACATGTCCACCTTCATCAGGCCCAGGAAGATCTTCCTGAGGGAGAGGCAGGGAATCACTTTTAAAATCAATAAAAACAACTTTATTTATACATATAGCACCTTTCAAAACAAAGTGCTTTCCTATAAAAACGGAACACATTTACACAGGGGGTCCGTGGAGGTACTGCAGGGGGGTCGCGAAATCTTTGGTTGATTAGACAATTTTTTATATTTCTTAAAAAAAAAAAATTTCTAATTTTTTTTTTTCCCACAAATTGAAATGTCTTTAAATGCACATTAACATGATTCCAACATATTGTAGCGAACGGAGAAATGGAGGAAGAAGACGTTATCTTTCAGTCAGCAATGCACGCATTCAGCTACACACAGTAGCTATCTCAAGCTAGGCGCCGGTTCACTCACAGCAGGAGACTACCCCGGACCTGTCCCACCAGGCCTCCTGTACACAAAGGGGAGGACCCGCCCCTATCGCTGCTGTGCCAATCACGAGGCCGCATGACACACGCTAGTCCCCAGTTTACTAAGGACCCAGACACAAGGACGCACGCTGTGATATTATTGAGAAGACCATACCTTTATATATATATATATATATATATATATATATATATATATATATATATATATATATATATATATATATATATATATATAAAAATTGATCGTTTTGTAACTCGACCAAAAAAATCCACAAGCACAAGAGAGATACCATCCACCTCAGAAACCACCAGAGGATTCACTGTCCCTTCTACATGTATGTTTAAAGTTAAAATCTGTGAATTAATTTAATAGCTCAGTGGTGTATGCAAGATGTGTTTATAAATGGCAGTGGCATTTAATATAAAACACATTTGTATGCCATACATATAGTTGGGGTGTCCCTGCTCCAGCTCTCCATCAGTTTGGGGGTCCCTGACCTGAAAAACGTTGAAGACCCCTGCATTAGCCAATAACTAACCAAGTTACACACACACCCACCCCACCCCCCCCCACCTTATCACATGAGTCTCCTCCTAGAGCAACATTGTGTTCTTTTTAACCAAACACTTTGCAGTGGCCAGCAGCAGCTCAATAGCCTTTAAAGCTACAGACAGAGAATCAACACTTTTGAAACAGGGCTGAAACCAGAGTTTGCGTTAACCGAATATTTTCCGTCTATGACGAATCTTTTTTTAACAATGACGGAAAAATCTGAAAGCAGTCCGTCATTTTGACGGTTAGATTAGAACAAACTCGGAACAGCGCCAAAGCTTCCCCGCAGCGAGGCTCCGGTGTTATGCATGCCCGCCAAAAAGGAAATGATACCGTTTCCACCTAAACCTAGCCGTACAAATCATTGAAATGTCTGGGAGTTTTACGCTGTGCGTACTCCCACGAGGTGCAGTGGGCATGCATAACACAGCATTATACCAGCGCTAACAGTTCACAAGCGTGCGTGCGTCCCCCCAGTTCACGAGCGTGCTCTCTCTTTCTCTCTTCCCCCCCCCCCCCCCCTGTCAGAGTTGTGTACAGTTTAGACCGACGGACGGACATGTTACGATCTTGTCCGTTAAAATGATAGGCAGCGAAAAAGTCTAGCGCCACCTCTGGCTGAAACAGAGGGGTTTATGGAATGCTACAATGATATGTTTGGTATTTGGAGCCAAAAAAATGTTTTATACATAAATTGCAATTTATTTAATATGCCAAGTTCAAGGAACTGCCTTGTCACTTTGGTCATACATGGAAGTGGAGCCTATAGTTTTCATTTAAAACGTTTTTTTTTCAATAAATAAATCTCATTCATATTTACATAACATTACATACATTAAATATAACACTGAAATGGTAAAAAAAAAACGCAAATTATTATTAATAATATCCAATAAATGTCAGTCACCCAAAATTATGTCATTGGTGTTACTGCTACACAAAACGCTTTTATTTTGAAGTAATGTACTGTCTCTGAAGTGCCTCCTGTAACAAGAGATCATTTGAGGCAGTGCAGTGGACAAAGACATAAGGAAAGTCAGATACTTCTTACTTTGTTTGTTAAAGGTGTCATTTTATCTTCAAATTGTACGTGCGTCTTTCAAGTCTGTCATTAGTGTTACTCATTGCATAGGCCTAGGGGTGAACATTTGAATGTGAAAATGTATTGAAGATGAAGAGTTAAACGATTTTGATATTGACTGAAGCCATAATGTGGTCTGACACATTGCAGCCATTTTGTTAAAATGGTAGTGTTTTCTCCAAATTGTCACTGGTGTTACTCTTCTTCCTGGTAACACATAACACCAGTGACGTTCCTATATAAATAAGCTTTGTATAATGTATAAAAATAATCAAAATACTTTAAGCTCTACTTGTTGTGGATTCATCAAGTTAAGAGTTAGTTATTGCTATTTAACAGGTTTTAGATGTTTTTAGAAGGAATATATTTCAGCAGATTTGTATCACAATTCCACCTTTTCTGTAGAATGACTCAGTTACATTTTTTTTAAAGTATTGCTTTAATCGATCACTAGATAATAATTACATATTTATATATGAAATGTAGATCTTCTGTTCTTTGATACTGTATATCGTTTAAGTTGTTTCACCTCTAGATCTACTTATTATGAACTGACCATGTATTTTATGTTTATTTTCCTGTGAATAGCAGAGCTATAATGAGCTTGTGAGATTTCCAATGTGGTTATGTGTATTAGCCCATACTGTATTGTACTATAGTCTTAGTGGGTTCAGAGGTCTCAGTAGACACTTACAGTCTTGACCTTACAGTCTGGTTGTAGTTTGGAGGATCATTGACCAGCTGCTCCCGTAGAATATGCCAAAAGCTGTACCATATCCGTCCCTCTGGCCTCCAGGCTACAGATAGAAATATGTTTTTAAAAACATCTCAAAAGAGACTAAACATTTAATACATTTTGTACAAAAGAGTGCTTTTCTCGCCTCTCTGGAAGGCTGGGTTTGAAGCAGAAGTCTCTGTTCAGCACTAGCTCATGCGCGAGATTCAGGTTGGAAACACAATTTTCTAGCTCCGTCAGGCTGGATGATGAGGCGGTGGGCGGACTCCCTGACACCACACACAGGACACACAGACACACCCTCAGATAATTAAAACTGCCACTGTGGTAATCATTCAATTACTAATGGTCCCTGAACGTGCCTGAAAACAATAATGGCTACAATAAAGCTTCATACCTGTGGGGGAGTCAAGCTTTTCTGGATGGGGAAGGTCGCCGGGGGAATCCTCCGCTGATCCTCTCTTTGATTTGGCCTTTCAGCAAAAGTCTAGACATTTAAATGAACAGAATCAGGTTGATATGTACGAGGAATTTGACTTGATGTCATGGTGCATCCAGTAAATAATAAACAAAACACAGCTTGATGAAATTGGTAACAATGTCTACAACACAAACAGTATGAGCTGCAATAATAAGTAGCTTAGTCAATGTAATATTGTTTATTTATCATTTCAGTTTTTTGTTTAGTTTCAAGTTTTCTTTGTCATATAAAATGTCTAGATGTATATTGTTGTAGGCTATGGGAAATAATGTGACTTTTTCCAGACAGTTTTTTAAACCACTGCACTGGCTCAATTTACCCCACTGCATGTGGCTCAATTTAACCGACAGCCACTTGGAAAACAACTCTCTAGCTTAGCCCTTCATGCTAATTTTAGGCTAAATGTTTCACATGGTTTTACACCTTGCTAAATAACCAACATGTATGATATACATTTTCAGACCTGAATACATTTTGTTTGACATAGTCATTATACCTGACAAATGTACTTTGACAAGCAAACAAAACAAAACCACATTTACCATGTGCTTCTCTCACACACAGCTAAATAGAAATGATGGGTGCTTCCTGATTTATGGTTACATGACAACAAATGTGCACATTGTTTCCTCGATACAGGGGGTGGCTCGATCATCTACCCCACTCTCCCCATTTAGGAATTTAGTTTAAACTGTTTTCTATGGGGTTCCTAATGGCTTGCATGTTTTACCTCAGCGACATTCTTTTTTTATGGCATAGGCCTACCCTATTTCAATACTTTTATGAAGAACTTTACTATGATTATTTAGGCTGCACATTGAAACCTGTCAACTTTACTGAAGTGACGTTTTGATAATGATTACATTTACAGACAGTGTTTAGATAATAACGTACCTGTTGTTGGTATTCTAATTAATTAATTAAAACTTAAAAATAAGAAAGATATAAATGTACTGACTGAAACGTCATAAACTGTATCGAACTGTTTATCTCAATAAAGTGTAAAAGTCTCGTGCGTGCAGTCATTACACCATAGACTGTAAGCATTACGGTAACATTTGAATCTGGGCTAAACCATTCTCCTCCGGATAAAGGAGGGGTTTAAAAGTACAAGCCTTTGATGACGTTTTACACGGAATCTAAATCTCTATGTGCGATTGTACCATAATATTACATATAGCTATTAATGCTTTAAATTACCAGCCTTTATTCATTTTTTGTGGAAAATAAAGACAAAAAGCGGCTTAATTTGGTTTGCTCCATTCTCAAATCAGCGTGTCACCTCACCAATTCACTTACCTGTTCCTCGTTTTTAATAGAAATAAAAAAGCAGAAAACGGTCGGTGTGTTTGTATAAATAGAACATTGTCTAGTAAGAGAATAATGTTTGCGACAGCTCTTATTTACAGACTATGGTGAACAGCTGGAAATGTCCTGTTTTCTTTAACCAGATAGGCTACTTCGAGAACTGCACTGAGATATTGATTACATCTCCAACAAGTGTGTTCAATGTTTACACTTTTCTAGGTTCTATGTATGTACGGTGTGCATATATTTTTTATTTTACTTCCTTTATCTAAACCTCTTAAAAATAATTTTAAAATACTTGTAAAACATATCCCGTTTTATGTTTCTTGGTGACAGTTTTTGTACTTTTTTTTGGTCAATATTTACCACAAATAGCTTCCAAATAAGGTAAGAACTTGTAAAGCATTTGAGAAATTAAAATACAATTTTTTACAAAGACACCAAAAAAGTCCCGAGACAGATGTGTATTGTAAATTATTTATAATTGCAAAATGTTGCGTAACAAACTGTTTTGATAAATACAAGCATTTGACAAAGCCTCACCTATAAAAGTTGACCTTCCTTCACAGCCACAAAACACAAATAGATTTGAACATATTGGGGAAAAAACAACTCCCAGGCCATGATATTTACACATTTGCATATTTCAAAAATATTGAACATAATTACATTTCTGTTTTAAAATAACAAGGATAACTTAAAAAATGTCAGTTTTACACTTAGTTCAAGCTTCTATGTACAAATACATGCGTTTTCTTTTCTGCACAATCACTGCCCTCACTTCAGGTGGAGTGTCTCAAATATTAAAGCAGACAAAAAGGAAAATAAGTGCCAAAAGTTGGGCTATGTGAAGAGAGCAGCACACCACAATTGTTCCTCAGATAACTTAGTGTCCTCCTATGAAACTGAGACAAGAAATCAATGTCTTATTTTAGTAAATCATCTTGAAAAGCGGTGAAAAATAATTTGTAAGCAGTTTAAAACTACAGGGGAAAAACTGGCCAGTTTCTCATGAAAGGGAAATCGATGTCACAAAAGACACTGCGTAAACGGTTTCTCTGCATTCAAGCTTTGTATTCCGGAGCAGTGAGGTTCTTATTGTGAAAAAAGGAAAAGGAGCATCTGCTGAATAAAAATGAGAACATTTTAATGAATGCAATCTTCTGTTCCCTGCCACACATACAAAGAGAAATGGTTCTCTTCCATTCATACACGAACCAAACTGTACAAAAACATCTCTAATAATATGATATTAATTAATTCAGAATTCACTCATGTTTGTATTAATGTCCTAATTCAGCAACGACTGTGCTGCAGTATGACCCCAACAGACCCCACTGAGCAGGTAGTGCACTTTGGCAGGCTCGTTCTTCTCAAAAGAGTTCTCTTTCATTCAACTTTTTCTTACTCTGGCCAAATCCATGACTGTTTACACCTGCTATAATCTAAAGAGTCTGTATCTAGATGTGTTATCTGGATGATGGCATGTAATAGACTACCTCAAAATCCGCACCCTGTATTAATAACAAACATGTTGTCACGGTAAGACAAAATGGCATGTCTTAGGTCTTTGTAGCTTTCTGATTGGCAGCTTGGTTGGGTGATTTTATCAACTTGCTGCGTGTTTTGCATTCAATAATGCACTTTAACTGGGGCGCACTATGGGGTTGGAGGTCTAAACTGCAACTCGAATCTGCAGTGTCCTTTCATGCATGTTGTCCTACACACTAATTGCATTATAAAAGCTTTAAATGCTCAAACATTAAGCATTTCACCTGGCTGAGATCTGAACATCATGTAAGCAGGGCCACACCCAGATCAGAGGGGTATACTACGAAGCCAAGTTAGAGGGTTAGCGAGGTATGTTGAGCCTAAAGCCAGAGTTTACTGTACTACGAAGGTGTCTCTCTTTTAACCTGGCTAGATTGTCATGATAACTTATGCTGCAGACATAACCTGCTCCTTTCAAGGTTATGTTCAAATTAAAATAGGCCAAAACCACTGTTCTCCAACTAGTTCCTGTAAATAGCAGGCCTTTATAGTCAGTCAGTGAGCAGAATTTATGCTCATGCTTTTTGCTTCAAAGTTTAAGAGCTGCAGTTGGTAAATCAAATATAATAGTCATGAAATGACACGATATGGCTCTGTTGAACTCGCTTCGCAGTATACCGCCCAAGTCTGGTGGATCATATGGCAGCCTGCATGCGATATGTTCTGCATGCTTGTACTCCTACACCTTTGCATGCTTTGTTCCTTATCAAGATCAGATATCCAGATACACTCATTTAATGTGAGAATCAACATTTGTCATAAAGCACAGATCTCACTGTGACTCCAGATTGTATTCCCTGTGACTGAATGCATGTAAACGCAGGCTTTTAGTGCTTGAGGGGCTTCAGTAGTGATGAGGTCATAGTGCAGCAGTCAGTCCGTGTTGTCAGTGCTATGAGGACATCATTTACCTGTTTTACGCTCTTCTCTCGAACAAGCACACACAAAAAAAGATTCATCAAGATCAATGCACGTGCTAAGAGTCTTTGAGCATGTTGATGCGTGCGAAGATCTTGAGTGCAGGTCCCAGTTTAATGTTCATGGCGCTCATGAGGTGGTCCTCCTTCAACAGGAGCATGGCCTGTCCGTCAATCTCCTGAGATCGAAACTCGTCTGCGATCTCCTGACAGCCTGCGTGAACAGCGGAGGGAAGAGTCTGTTAGTGACACTAAAACTTCAAAAATAAAAGCATGTCTATGTATCGGGGATGGGACGATATAGTATTGTCATGTTGAGTAAAGAAGATACTTCATTGTGAATTTATTGAGGTTGATTTTCATTATTGGGATAATATCTTCACACGAGTGATTTGGAAAACGTTTTATAGCTCGCTATCATTAGGGAAGTAACAAATATAATGTAAGAAAGAACAGACTCACTTGTTTTTTAAATGATCTTTTGCCAGGGGATCTTATTATTATTATTATCTTATTTAATATTATTGTTTGGTATTTCTCTGAAAATAATGTTCACTAAAAGAGATGTGTGTCCTATATGTGATGCAAAAAAAAATGTATTTCTCAATAAAATAATAATATGACTCGACCTTGAACACCAATGACTCGGGACTTGACTTGGACTTTAATTCAGGGTTCTCCAACCATGGATGTATAAGTCTCCAACACGTCGATCGTGAGCTACTGGTAGAAGAGCAGACTCCCGTCGGGGAGAGCAGAATCTTCCGCCGCTCCTACTCTTGCATGGAGGGGCGGGACTTTATTTAGCCGGGCAACCATATGCGAGGACACTAGGATCATACCATTATGTGAAAGAAGGGGGGGCAGACGCTCCAAAGACAGCATAGTGGTACAGGCCAGCTGCACAGAGCGACAGGGAGCCGGATTTAAATACAAGCGCATAGGAAAAAGTCAAGAAATGAGCTAAAACTGAAAAAAGAAGCAGCATCTGGCTGCTTTTCAATGATATTGGAGAAAGCAAAGCTGAGTGCAAGATTTGTAAAAATGAAAATAACCTTCAGAGCAGGTTTTTTTTGTTGGTAACCACTCAGGATTTATTGCCAGAGGTGGGAGAAGTTCCGATCTTGTACTTGAGTAAAAGTACCAGAGTGTAGGAATCAGAGGTGGAGTAAGTCATACATGTGCAAGTCATGAGCAAGTCTCAAGCCACTGTGGTGAGTCAATCAAGTCAAGTCATTGCTCAGGTCAAGCAAGTCACAAGTCAAGAATCAAGTCATACGAAATTCTGATGAATAACCCCAGTTTCCACATTTAAAAATCAGTTAAAATATTGTGGTTATGAAAAGTTTAGTTTTATTTTCAACATAAACAGCAATGGAGAGTGGGGCGCTGAAATTATAACTCTATTTGATTATTAAGTATTATTCTGCTGATGGATGTCATTACATTTGGTGAAAAGCACATAATGACTTGTTTAAGACTCGGTTTTCAAAGTTTAGGACTTGGACTTGACTTGAACTTTCCCATCCTGACTTGAGACTTGACTTGGACTTGAGTGCAAAGACTTGAGAATTACTTGTGACTTGAGTGCAAAGACTTGAGACTTACTTGTGACTTGCAAAACAATGACTTGGTCCCACCTCTGCTAGATGTTGATATTGTCGGAGCTCTAGTATGTAACCCTTAAGAAATGTCGATGAACTAACACTGTGGTTACTCCTCTCACCTGGCAGTGATCGGATGAAGTCGTAAACTTGTTCCACGTTCCACTTGGTGGGGTCGTTGGGTATGAAGCAGAGCGAAGGCGAGTCTCTGACAGCACAGACCTCCTGTTCCGAGGCCCTGCTCGGGTGCCGGTGTACGGGGACCTGAGCGGGGGCGGGGGGCAGGGGCCCCGAGCTGGCTGCAGAGAGCGGGGAGGGCGGTTCCTCGTAGCTGGACATGTCCGAACACGGGCTGGACTCCTCCTGACTGGGTTGCGAGGGGTGGGGGGAGGAGACAGAGCCGCCCTGAGTCTGCTGCGGGGAGGGGGACAGCTTCTGAAAGTGACAAAGTTGAAGCATGCCGTAAAACACTCGGCATATGGGAAATAAATGGCGGAACAGTAAAACGCTTTTAAGACATTGTGATGGACTCAGCAAAGATTAAAGCTGTTATAAAGTAAGATTGATACTGTATTTAAGTGAGTATAATACACCTGCAAGGATTTTAGGGTTGTTGGATGGATGCCAATGCCTCAAAAGTTGCTAAACCTGAACTAAACCTGAACAAAATGTGAAACAAAAGCACAACAGAGGTTCAATACTGAACCCTTGAGGCGTTACATAACTGAAAACATTTTGGCTATACAACCTTAGAAAGAGGGATCTCCAGCCAGAAAATATATATTATTCACTGTCATATAAACTACTTGTCTGTATTGTAAAAGTAGCTTTGCTGTGTCATTAGAAGTTTCAAGGTCCTGGGATATCTACGTACAAAGTCAAAGTCTCAGATGAGTGGCAATAAAAAACAAGACAACAAATCAAGTGGCTTTTGATGACTATATCATTTGCGTAGAAGGCAGAAAATCCATTCTGATGCTCTACACACCTACCGTTCCCCAATAAACGTTGACAACGATCATAAAGTAGGTAATGACCCTTTAATGACAGAGGAAGATAATCGGGCACTGACACAAATGATGCTAAAAGTTCATTAAGAAGCCTCAGGCGTGAAGAGTGCAGCAGGAGCAGTAACTACTGAGAGGTAAAGTGTTGAGGAGGGTTTTTACAACAGTGTGTGTGTGTATATGTGTGTGTGTGTGTGTGTGTGTGTGTGTGTGTGTGTGTGTGTGTGTGTGTGTGTGTGTACCTGCTTCTTTGCCTCTATACTGCTGCGGCCCTGAGATCTTCTACGCCAGCGATTGGTCGGTTTACTCCTCTCTGGACGGAAAAGGCCTATCCGTTTCGTGCAGCCCACGTTGTACCTGTCAGCAAAAGCCCATTATTAATGTGTTTACTTTTTCACAAAATGAAAAATTATAAAGAATGAAAAAGTGACTCGCCTCTTTGCACAAACCACGGAGCAGAATCTTTTAGAACCTTTAAATGTGTAGGCAAAGTCGACCCAGCCGCAGTATTCACATGTCAGCTTGGGTTCTTGTTCTTTTTCTGAAGGAAGGGAAACAATATGGACACTCAATATTAGTTTCTCTTGTGAAATTAAACAACGTGTGTCAGATATGGTCTAGGAAGTCTGATTTAAGTGACAGATACATGTGTTTCAAGTCTTATCAGGTATTAAAACCCTGTACAGAATTGCACAACTCTGGCAACCATTAGAAATATGCTCATGCTACCAAGTTATTTTCAGGAATGTGTACCTGCATGAACCTTGCCAGAAAACATGATTTTGCAGCAAAAGGTGAGCCAGTATAACTTTTTTTTATCCAAAAATACTGCATTTGCACCAAACTGTCAGCGGACTGGCTCCATTTAATAAATGAGAGGGCTGTGTGTTTTATTACACAGGGCTGGAGTCTGAAGGTAAATCAGTTTACAGCACTAGCATTTTGTTGCCTGACAAATGAGAATGTTCCAGGAAAAAAGGACTTAGGTTACATTCAATTTATCACAGACTTGATGCATTTAGAGTGAAAAACACTCCTGGAGAGCTACATTATTTAACAGGTTGGTTTGGGACTGGCGAATAAAGGCATGTACAGGTTAAGTGGCTTGGGGCTTTTCTGTATCTGTTCTGAAGATTTTAATGCTGTGAAGTTAACCCATTGTAATGTCACAATTTCATAAACCTTCTAAACAGCAGATTCTATTCCCCACTTTCTTTTAGAGTCTCATTAATGCATCCCAGTGTTAATTTGTCAACGAAAACTATGACGAAAAATGTTCGTCAACAACCTTTTTTACATGACTAAGACGAGACGATGACGAGCTAAAAATAGATTCTTGATAACGAAAACTATGACGAAATGTATATTTAGTTTTCGTTGACGAGACTAAGGTGTTAATGGTGGACTATCGGACATTCAAAATGCAGCATATTTCCCCCCGAGTGTCCATCTTGTCTGTCAAAATGCATCTTACGTTTCTAACTTGCAATATCATTATTTCCGCTCTCTTCACTCCAGAAGAGCGATCTCCCTGTGTCTCTCTGTGTGCGGGGGGGCAGGGCCTAACAGACATGCTGCAGCGGACACAGAGATCTGCCGGGGACGGAGCGTTCAGAGAGTATAGAGACACATTTTGACTAAAAGTTGACTAAAACTAGACTAAAACTACGAAGAATAGGAATGACTAAAATGTGACTAAAACTAATAACCATTTTCGTCTAAAGACTAAATCAAAAACAGCTGCCAAAATTAACACTGATGCATCCCTGAGTTTAATGAGAGCACTGGGCTACACAAACTGATAAACATCAATTGTTGTACTTTCATACAATAATATGCATTACCTGATGTGTTCATGTCCTCGGTCTCGGAGTCGCTGTTTGCTGCGTTGCTGACGGGGGTCTTGTCGGGGTCCGAGGAGAGCTGATGATCCATCTTCTTCGGGCTGTCGATGAGAATGGGCAGACGCTCCACCTGGTGACAGAAAAGAGATATTTACAAATGTGATATCATGCTCCAGGAATAGGAAAAAAGGCTGTTTCTGCTGTAACAATATAACTGGACGGCTTGATTTGCAAAGCCATAATTCTGAAAACAGCAATATTAGATCAATGAAAAGACTACTTTAGATGATGATCGCAGCATTTGACTACCGCTTAATTAATTTAACAACCAGGTAATGTAAGTCTTTGTCACATCATTGTCTAGATCAGAGGAAATGGGGAAAACACAGACACTTCTGAACAATAGCTAGCTTAATAACTTTTGGGCTCACTTTGATAATCAAACTGCTGCTGGAGACATTGTTAGCAAAGTAGGGAATGTGCGTCCAATTGTTCCGAAACAATGAGTCATCAGCAGGGAAATGATTTGCACTAGTGATTATTGAGTCATTAAATCATTAAATCAAGCATGAAGGGTTTAATAATTAATGGTTACAACTTCTTGAATGTGAACATGTGCTGCTTCTCTGTTTAATATAATTTATAATTGGATATCTCAAGCTTTGACATTTCATAGAATTAACACCTAATGAATAAATAGAAAAAAAACCTTCTAACAATCATTAATATTATATAATGATTAGCAATTAGCCCAATTTAAAAGAACCATATCAATGTGTTTGCAATGTAGATACTGCATTATTTCAGGCTCTCTAACAGTATGACTTATTTGTGCTTGTTTAGACCTGTATGCATGTAAATATACCAAGCATTTATACCAAATGTCCAGTAGGAGGCAGTGAGCCCCAAGTCTAAAAATAACAACAAGCCTATGTGTTGTTGCATGTGAACAAAAGGGTGTTAATTCTCACGTTTAGCTTTTTATAAAAAAAGGGGGATACACACTTTACCCGTATACAGATAAACAATATAATCACCTGAATGTTAAGTGAGATGACACAAATTAAAGCAGGGTTTTTATAAGCCTCGAGATAATTGAGAAGCTGCATCTCCACACGCACACACCTTCAGTCTCACTCAAATTAATGACTGACTCCCACAGAAGCTGTGAGCTGTCAGTAGTAGTAGTAACAGAGGGTTTTGTGTTTGCCTGCTGACAGCTCCCTGCAGGCGAGTACACCAGAGAGTGTGTTGTTATCGTGTCTCGCTGCTAGTAACTCTGCGATCGGGCCACTTACACACACGGGGAACGGCTCGGCCCCCTCTTGGATGACAAAGCCTTCGATGACATGTGTGAGGACCTGCGGCTTGACGATGGCCTGCGGCGGTTTGTTCTCGCCGTTCTGCGGCGTGCTGCCGATCACGGTGGGTGCTTTGCTCTCATTTCCTGAGGTCATGGCTGGAGGTGGGGTCCCAGGTGGAGCAGCACTCAACCTCTTGGTTGAGCCTCCGCCTGCTGATAAAGAAACAAATTCAACACCGTGCAGTTAATGTATAGTGCTGGTCACTGCTGGTGGGTTCTATGAATGAAATTAGAGCTAAAAGAAGGGTTGATTAAGCATTTATGTCCAGCAAACATACAAACATCCCCCCAGTTTCCTTCACAGATGAATATTTGATGCATTTCCTTGTCATATTGTTGTATGTAAATAATGTTGTGTTTTCAAAATGGTCCCAATTACAGGCATGCATTTAGAAAATGTCGTGCTAGGTTCTGGATAATTAATTAATACATTTTCAGTTGTATTACATTTCAATGGCATTTTGTGGAGAGAACAATCAGCAGCCCTAGATTAATTGTCAGATTGAAACTTTAATTACAAATATATAACATATTCTGATTTCAGCTTCTCATAAGTGATTATTTGTTGCTTTAATAAAAACAACATTTAAAAGACATCACTATGGGTTTCATTAAGAAGAACTTAAAAGAAATGTTTTTTCAGTATTTTGTGACATTTTATAGGTGATTCAAATACCCAGCAGATTAATTGAAAATTAAAATACAGTAAGGACATTTACACAAGCACAGCAAATGAGGGTAAATCCACACTATTATTTTTATTTAAAAATGGTTAAATTACATAATTTTAATCATTAAGTATCTTCAAACTTAAATAATATAAGTAGCTGCAACTTTAATCAATTAGATGTTACAATGTGTTATTTATTTCAAGCTTAGAATAGCTTCTTTTTCTATATTCACAGATACGAGCTCTTTAACAGATACTTGGCTGTGTATGATCATGAGGTCATATTATTTAAAGTCCAAGCAGACACACAATCATCACATTATAGCTACATGCAAACAGTAAGCGGTCATATCCACCTGCCTGCTGCTTTAAATGACTGCTCTGGTCTATTATCAGCAGAACATTTGAAGTGACCTACTGACACACAGACGGTCAATAACAAACAGTAAATTCAGCATGCGTGACTCCCACAGACACAACACCGACGCCCCTGCTCCCCACAAAGAGAAAGTAAACGCCATGCCTCGTTCTCTTAAAAGTCTCCAGCGTTTACCAAGCTTTCTTACCAACTTCCAAGGTGTTCAGAGAGAAAACATTGCGGTTTGTTTGTGGTTGTAATGATCCTACACACAGCGCTGCCGCTGCTGACCGTGTTTGAGCTGCACCGCTGCTTCAGACACGCTAAAGAGAAGCTTTACAGAGGCCCGCCCCCCTGTTTCCTCCCATAGAGGAACACTAGAAGGCTGCTGCATGATGAACACATGCTTCAACCGGGAACCCGGGAGAAGAGTGACTCGATTCAGCCTGACCAGGGGCGTTTCCTGGACCTGGAAACATTAGGGGCTAGCCCACAGTGTTGGCGCCAGAGATTTTCTTTTGGGGGTGCTGTGGGGTAGCTTGACGTTTCATAGAGGTTGCTCAAACATGTAGGGTTTCCCATTAAGGTACCGGGCGCTACAGTGGAATGTTCTACTGCAACACTCTCCACACGCACATACACAGTACACCCGTGACTGTAGGAGGCTCGATAATCAGCTCACGGCATAGGCTATAGGTGTAAGCAGGGGGTAAAGTGCAATTTGTTATAAGTGGGGCGCGGACCTCACCTCATCGTCCGGGGGTATGCTCCCGGGGAAGATTTTTTTTTTTTTTTTAAATATTAAAGTTAAATGCATCAATCTGGTGCACTTTGAGAGATCTATGGATCTCTCAACACCCTGAAACAGAACTGTAAACTGATTTTCTTTTTGGATATTTTACAAGTCACTCCCCTTTTAAACTGTATTCTTGTTTTACTGGCATATTTAATAACTGTTTTTTATAACTATAATGATCATATGAAGGTGTGCCTCAGAAATATTCTTTTGAATAATTCGTCACCAAACCGTTTGAGACCCACTGAGATAACTTGGATACAGTTAACTATCTAAACACTCAGAGTCCTTTAGCTCACCTGAGAGGAGAGGAATCTCCTCCAGCTTGTTGTGGAAACAGCTCCTTATGTCCGAGCTAGCTAACCAGATGCTAACAATATGGTCCCGTGCGCTCTCTCTGTCTCTCTCGCTCGCTTACTCAATCACACTAAATGCGCTATTGCCCCACACACACACACGTTTATTTCCATGCAACTCTCTGATTGGTCTGGTGTTTTGCCTCTGTTGCATTCACTGAACACGGGAAATTACAATCCTGCCGTCCTCTCTAGTGTCATGATGAGGTTCAGGTAAAGCACGGTTAATGTATTATATTATTGAGGGAGAATTATCCGGGGCTACAGAAAAAACATTCGGGGCTTTGACATTTTAATTTGTATTTCCGACAAGTGTTACAAATATAAATACGATCCATTAAAAGCGACAAATGATCGCGAGACAACAACGCATGTATTTAATTTAACAGGGGCACAGAGAGGGATTGTATGGCCCAAGTCCCCCCACTGCTGAATATGCCCCCTCTGAGAGAAGTTTGACAAGACACAGGGTTCTTACATATTTTCAAATTGTATACATTTCCAGACTGTATATATTTTGTACACAATATTTTACAACTGAGGACAAAAAGCTAGATGTTAAATTATGTAAATAAATTCCAACTGTTAACATGCTTTTTTCTGACTGTGTATGCTATTTTATTTTCAAGTAATTGCCAGAAGATGGTAGCTAGGTTGTTTACTGTAGCTCATACAAATACAATAACCTTAACCTGTAACACAATAATATTCACGAAACTGACGATATGAACAATTTGTACCGAAACAAAACACAAGCCTAACGCCGAGCCTCTGAATTAGCACTAAGAGAAAGAGTGCTAACGTACTTAGCACAGAACTCACTTTAGCAATCTTTTATACTTTTTAAAATATATATCACCTGAAAACTGAGATTCCAATGGTATACGTATCATCACTGAGCGACCAAAACTCGCGGCAGCGAAGGCTGGCAAAAACACAACACACAACTTCACTTTACTGGGCCAAAACGGCAAATATGTCTTACCTTTGCTGTTTTCTGATCAATATGTGTGTTCAATGACATTAAAATGCATATAAACGCTGCTGAAGGTTAATCCAATGTCTCTGTGTCACTTTGAAATGATTACTGATAATCCATCGTAATATTTATGGCAATGAGCCTAGTTTTTAGTTTTCAGTTTTCAGAGCGTAACGTAGCTTTCGGTTTGGGCAAACTGCGTGCGCATCAATCTCACTCCTCAATGGTAATGTGAAGGTGGATTTAGGAACTTCCCCTCGATTCTATTGGCTCTAACGGTTCAAAAGAGGTATCAATCACCAAAATCGACCTCTCTAAAAAGGTCAAATTTAGCTTGTTTTGCATCAATCTTGATACAGGGTACTTATATGTTATAGTTTGGATTCCTAAAGCTTTTACTCTACTATCCCATCATTCAAGGGTGGTTTTCACTAAGTAATGTTTTTATTTTGGACGGAAACAATAATTTACATTTTTTTACTATATTCAATCTGAATTGACTTTAAAATAAAAAAGTTCTATATTGATTCTGACTTTTCTACATCCAACTCACAGGTTTATCATTGCTTTGAGAAAAAAGATTATTAATGTACCCCTTTTAGAAGTGAAGATATAGTCATTTGTTCTGGGAATGTCATTTTAGAGCCTGAGACCTGAAAAACAGGCTCGGGGTTAACAGGTTACATTTAAATAACAGTATTACCACACTGTCGAGTGTCGAATTGCTTCAATTACTCAAATTTCTAGGTACTTTTTCCACCTCTGGTGTACGGCATGAAAAAGTTCAAGGTGCTGTAATTGTGGGGGGTGTGTTGTTTTGGTAAAATATGAAATATGATCCTGGACAAGACACCTCCTACAAACATGGCACTTACTACTCTTTGTATTGTGATTTTTAAAGTTTCACATTTTCATATGATTTGAGCTACGAGAAACAATTCGAGATGTGACGCTATCCCGATGTTATCAAGTTGAAAATAAAAAATGTTGTAATGATGATCGTGAGGTAAACAGTAGAAACAGCCCCATCATTCAAATGAATGGGGGGAGCCGTTTCTATTTTAGATTTTTGCAGCTCTGATGTTTGACTCAACACAACATAAAACCCCAAAATACTAAAAGAACATTCACAGTCCTCAATGCAGTGTATATAGTATATATATTCAGTAATGCATGTTCATTAGTTAATGTAACACCCACTCTGTTTACACACTTTTCATTGAAATACTTGAAAGAAGTGTCTGAAGAAATGTGGTGCAGTTAATCTTTTAGCTGGAAGCCTTGTTTACTCAATAAGCCACTTTGACAGGAAAACTGCTTTTGATACATTTTCCGAATGTAAAGAAGCTGAAACTTTGTACCCAACGTCATCAGCCCCTGCAGCCAGTGGATTATAAAAAGTGTTTCCTGCAGTAGTGGTGAGAATCACACCCAACTCACTCTTCATAAACAGTGATTTGTGGTCTGCAGAATGATTCCTTTTACAATAGATACCACATTAGCCCCACTTCCAACCATTAAGGAGAAATATCACTGAATCTGGGTGAACATTTAAAAAGTACAACAAAATAATAAGAAAAATCAAGCTTCAGCATGTAACACACTAACACTCAAAGTTTCTGACCACGAGCCAAACCTCAGAACATGCTCTATATCTTTGATCCAAATACCCTGCTTAAAATGTGTGCACATAAAAAAATACAGAAAATTGAACAAACATTTAATTAATGCAACTTTTCACGGATGTCCTCAATACAAAAAGAGTGAGACATTCCCCATTCCAAATCAGTTTGTCCTAAGTTTAGAAACTAGCCTGAACACCTACACAATTGAATGCAATCCAAGAGAATAGATGTGTACAAAATATTGAACTTATAGCGTTCAGTAGAGGTTCACTGATTGATCCAGATAATTGTCAGCTGATCGTATATTTTAACCTTGCACCCACACCAGAACAGACAGAAACATGAGAACTGTGAAAAGGTTCTTTAGTGTCAGTGAAGAAGAAAAAATATCAATTTGAAACACCTGCAAGTCCAAATTAAGCTGTGGAGCATCAACCCTAATACCAGGATTTCAACAACATCCATGTCCTGTGACTCTTTGTAAATGACCCAAGATGATGCCATTTTAGTCTCCCATATCTTTTGTCTGAAAATTGTAATTAATGTTAAATTAATTGTGGTTTTGTTGACACCAATCAATACAGGCTGTAGTTAGTGGTGGTGTTGTATGAACTTACATCAGAACTTTTTATCCGACCTTCATGTTTGTAAATGGTTGCGAACACAATATGAACATGATGTCTCCCTTGCATTGTGTGCAACAGCCAGGCCGATACTATACAATAAAACAGTGACCAAGTGTGCTCAAATGTCTCCAATGTAATGTACAGGCAACAACATAATAAAAACAATAATGGTCCATTATGAGTCTGGGTGTATTATTGTTCTGCTGTTCAGGGCTTATGTCAAGTTTAAATGTTTGAGCAGCGCTGAGTGAATTGTGGGTATCAGCTGAGCTATTTGGCTGCATCTCAGATGAGTCGCAGATAAAACAAAGCAATAAGAGACAGAGAGGAGCGAAACTAAATGTGCTGCAGACACAACACATTCTGAATTAAACACCAGCATTGATTTTATGGTCCTTCACTGAAAGTTCAAATAGATGGCCAACTCAAGCAGAGCGGAGCAAAAATAAACAGTTTTTTGGCCCAAAGATAAAGTTTTTTCAACCACTTTTCCTAGTCCCAGTGGCTATTTGACTAAAGTGTATTTAACGAAACGTTTGAGTTCTCCATGCTGAGTCATTACCTTGTGGCTGGACAGCTGGTGTGGGTGGCTCGACTTTGGGCAGCTCGACAGGCTTGGTGGGTTGAGATGGTACAGGTGGAGGTTGCTGTTGCTGTTGCTGCTGCTGCTGCTGCTGCTGCTGCTGCTGCTGCTGCTGTTGTTGTTGTTGTTGTTGTTGTTGTTGTTGTTGTTGTTGTTGTTGTTGTTGTTGTTGTTGTTGTGGTGGTGGTTGCTGCTGCTGCTGTGCGGCAGGGGGTGAACACATCTCTCTGACCACCAGTGAGGTCGGTTTATCTTTATTGTCGTGAAGCATTCGGGAGGCCTATGATGGTTATCAAGGGAGAGAGGAAAACATGAGAAAGTACATCTGCAACAGTGAAGAAAAGACAGATCAGCGACTTTTAGTCTTTCTAATGTCAGTGACTCATGAGCTAAAAACTATTAGAGCTTGGAAAATATCACACCAGTGGGAAAATATGACACCAGGAATCTCTTAGCCAAAGATTTCAGTTTTTTTTAACATGTATGTCTTGGAGTAGAAATGGAATGTGTGGGTTTTGTTGCAATGGTAGCTTTTGAGTGAGCAACACAAAATGTTAGGATCAAAAGTCCTGTCCCGTAAGAAACAAATGTGGGACAAATACAATGAATCATATTAAGAAGCAATTCTGGTAACAATGAATAATATGATACCAGAAAAAGATATATCCTAGGAGAAATGTTTATAGTTTAGTTTTACCTTTGTTTGTCCTCTTTTTAATTAATTTTTCAAATATTTTTAAATGAAGTGGATCATTTTCAACAAAGCAATGTGAGGCTGTGCCAGCTTTTACAGGCAATAATATGACCTTTGCCTTATCATTGATGCTGGCAACACTTTAAATGAAATACATAACATTTAAATGAAAAGTGTCTCATTAGTTTGAGACCGTGGTGTGTAAGTGTACTCACTGTTGGATGTATTTGCAGGTTGATGGCAGTGAGCTGGACGGGCTGAGCTTTCGCGTGGTTCAGGGAGGAGTGGAGGGCGTGGGGGCTGATGGTGGAGTGGAAGATGGTGGCCTGCTGGCTGGGCATGGAGGACTGGTGCGGAGCAGGTTTGGGCAGCACGGGGACGGGGTGCTGAGACGGTTGAATGGAGGCTGTTTGCAGCAGCTGGCCCGCGGCCCTCTGGGAGGCTTGACTCTGATGGACCACAAACTGCTGTTGCTGCTGCTGCTTGTGCTGCTGAACCAGGGAGTGGGGCTGGATATGAGTGTACGCTGGAACGAGAAAAACATTTGGTTTTTTTTATTCATGAATCCAGCTTACTGCTGTGCTCACCACCCACAGATAGTTCACTTGACATACTTCCTCAAAGCCAATTTCCATTTGAATAAGGTCCTACAAAATATACTTATCGTATTAGGTTCATTTAGACAACTGGTATGCAGTTTTGCTTTTTTGCTTATACCTGTGTGTTAATGTGGCCGCAGACAGTGGAAAAGGGGAAACATTCATAGCATATACTATTGCTTCAATACTATATAATATGTATAATATATGAAACTATTGACAAAGTAAGAATTGTACATTACATGGTGCTGAAACTAAGCAAACAATTATGGTCATCTCTGTACTGTTTATAAGGCCACAATGGAAAACATGTACTGGTTCCTGTTAATGCAAATTCAATATCTTGGACATTAATTGGCTTTTTTTCAGATCAATCTATTATAAGAGTAATCATTGCAGCCCTATTTTCTTATTACACAGTGCTAAGTGCATGCAGTAGTCTTGTCAAACATTGTCTTGTATAAAAAGGTGAGATCTGTGACAGAGCACGAGCAACATTTATCTCATGCGTGCTGACAACTGTCCACACTCTATATATTAGAGAGCAAGGCCAAATGTAGCCTGCTTCACAAAAAAGCAGGTTTTGTAGCTTTCCCTTCACCTGTGTGCCCCTTGCTGACAGGATGTAATATTATGAGCTCGATGAAAGGTGCACAGAGAGGCTCCCTGTAGCAGTTTGGGTCTGACCATTACTCACAAAACGTTTCAAAATGGCCTGTCACCACCTGTCAGTGGTGTTGTGGGTAAAAAGGCATCCTGGGCTCATAACTTGCCTGGAAAGCCCGAGACACAGCACATCAATCTTGCATTGTGGGAGCATGTCTGAGTGGGAGAGAGTTGCTCAGCGGAAGTATCCCGAGGCTAGTCTAATATTAGAAATACTCCAGGAACCAACATGCAGAGCTCTGACACTCTGTATGGAGTTAATGTTGAGTCAGGAGGTCCAAGCCCCTCTGCTGCCTCTTTGATCTTTTACAACTCTACCAGGAAATACTAACAACTAATTGACTCATTTCTAACCCAAACAAGAAGAAGTGACTCCTGCCCTAGAATACAAAACAGAAGCGTTTGAGCTGTGTGAACATGGAGGTGTGTTCGGTGATGTTAATAAACCCTCTAATAAATCAGTTTATGGAAAACTGCCAAGTACATCAGCGTTTGTCTCAAATCCCCCTCGCCCCCACCCTGTTCTTTTCATGATGTTTTGTGTGGGATCAGCTCCATCTGGTTTCAAAGTTTCCCTGAGAGGCTCTGACCGCAGTCTGTGCCCTGCTGTGGAATATATACATGTTTCTATCCGGCAGAGTGCATGCCATTTGTCCCTTTAATGCTGAGAACGGTTGCTTTTTCACATGGCGAGACTCTGTGAAACCCACCAACAGAAAATCGGTCTATTCAGTGTTCAAAAGTGAAGACCTTCATTTGTTCATGTTCAGAGAAGGATGGATATGAGCCCAGGATGGGTGAATACATCCAGAAGCAATAGAATTAAAGATGTCAGCTTAGAAAGATGGTTGGCGGGACGTTGCGGGGCTCGCTGCTCCGCCCTTTGAGGCTCGAGGAGCGGACAGTGTGAGCTGTATTACTGGTGTAGTTTCCTGGTTGCTGCGTGGGGTCTGCGAGACAGTGAGACACCGCGGAACTGAGCCTGCGTAAACACACACTCACAACCTGAGCTCCGAGTGTGTGTGTGTGTGTGTGTACGGAGCTCCACGCAGCACCGCGGCTGAGAAAAGATAAGGCTGGCTGTGTGTACGTGTGCGTGTGTGTGTGTGTGTGGAGCTCCGCAGCGTTACCTCACTATGACCAGGAAGAAAACAATGGAAAAAGAGAAATGTCCAACGAGGCGTTCTGGGGCAGCATAGACAGGTATTTTCTGTGTTAGAGTTTTACTCGCTACAGGGTGTACTTTGAGGGTTTGTGACTCTGCAGACCGTTTACATGCAGAAAAAGCTACTTAACACACGAGGGGACGGGTAATAACCGGAAAAGCATGTCATGGGACCTTTAAAGATGAAGAGAAACAATAACATGATAGGAGCCCTGATCTGGGATGATTAGACCATTCATGGATAAATTGACCAACAGAAAACTAAGTTTTCAACAAATATTTTTTGTATATTTTTTAAAAATCATCCTTTTTCAAACGAAAATAGCAAAACACATTTACCATAATAACTTCAATAATTTAATAGTTAAGAAATGTTTTTGACTTTTGGTTCAGATAAAACAGGACGTCTGTTTAGGCTCTCTGGGGGGTAATTTAAGTTTTTCACATTTTCTTTTACATTTATAAAAAAAAATAGACAAACTGGAAACTATTTAATAGATAATAAAAACCATGGGAAAATGGCATTACTCCTGACAATAGGGCATGAGAAAGAACTCAGAACAACAAATAATCTATTATTATCTAATATTCTGTCACTGAAAATATAAAATACTCCAACTGCAGCAACTTACACTAAAAAAGGTAATAAAAGCACAAACCTGACCTTAATGATTTGAATGATTATGTGCAAATATGGCAATACAATAAGAAAAGAAATAAACTACAAAAACCAACCACCTACACATGATTCAAAATGCATCTCGAACAGTTAAGAATTGAATAGTAGCACTTTCGATCAAGATCTCACAGAATCATATGGTAGCAACAGATTCCAGCATTTGTTAATGATAGGCGGGGGATTTCTGAATCATCACACAACGGAAACCACCAGCCCTCCCAGTGTATCCTGACAACGTTCTCAAGCCCCTAATGAGGAACAGAGAGAAGTCTTGGAAGAAGAGGAACACAGGGGAATTCTTTTAGATGCCTTTCCCCCTCAAGGTCTTGGAGTTAAGGACTGGAATGAACTACCCTCCCCCCCCCCCCCCACCCACGCAATCATACAAAATTCAGTATGTGGCAGTGGGCTCCACACCCCATACACCTCCTACTCTATCTGCGTGTTGTTGCACAATGTCCTGCGATGGAGGACAGTTAACGTCCCCGATGGGTTTGTAGAACCAGGCCCTGGAAAATCCCAGAGTTTCCACTTTCTCACCGACTGCCACTCTGGCTTTCACTCATGAAACACATTCCGAACTAAAACAACAGAGCAGGCTTTACACCATCTTTCCTCACTCTAATACAGATCATCATCAAAAGAACTCAATTCCTAAATGAATCCAGTTCCTGTTTGGTTTCAACACTCCACAGTTTCAGACAAAAAACTGTTGCCGTCTCACGTTAATGTCACATTGGCAGGCTCTCAGGGAGAAAACCAAATGACACCTCAGTATTTTAGCAGTTGTAAACTCCAGTGAGGCTATATTTTCAGATCAGTAAAGGGAACATTGGATGTCAGTTTTATTAGACAAGATAAGAGAGAAGAAAGGAAGCTGTTATACATTTTAAGTGGTTTTCCTTCTTATTTCTTGGTAATCCTTTTCAAGTGAAACTGGCAACTCCTTCTGTTGCTAGCAGCTACATAATTATGCCAAGTCAGATTTCGTGTGCTGTTCTTTTAATCTGCCAGCATGGTGCTTTGGGGGGTTTCATGCTGTGTTTTTTTTATAATAAGGTGCTGAATCTTTGGTGCCAAGAGGAGGCGATGACAAACACTTACTGCAACAAGCCAGATGCAACATTTGTTTCCAGTCCAAATCCTATTCAGGGGACCAACTCTTAATGATGGTAATGTTCACAGTAGCAGAGATAATGCTCTAAAATGGTCTGCCAAAACATTGATGAGCAAAAATAGCAAAACAAAATGAGTCACACCTCTTCTGTTTCTATTGTTCTCTCAGATCAGACCAGAATGATTTCTGCGGAGTCAAGTTCAACCCTAATAAAGTAAAGATGTGTTTGATTCATGATAGTTTTCACAATATCATTGCTTCTAATTATTAAGATATTATTTTACCATTTTATTTGTTAAACTTGTTAAAGTGCTATCTTTTGCAAAACAAGTTCATATGAAACAGCCAGTGAGGAGGTTTTTGTCATTTGTTAGACTATTTATGCTGGTAATGAAGACTTGGTCAACATTTAAACCAATACAAGTGAGCCTAGCAAAACCAGTTTAGGTTGAGAGAAAAAAATGATGAATTGTGTTTATAAATACATGTTTGACACATTAATACACTGTGCCCAGGAGGTTATGTTTTCAGTTTGGTTTGTTTGTTTGTCAGTGGTCTGATTGTAACAACATTTGGTGGAGGGGTGTAGTATGGTCCACAAATGATCCATTTACCTGGTGGATCGATTTTTTACTTTTATTAACATTGCAAGACAGGGCATGGGCTTTGCCAATGTCTCTTGGAGTGCCTTTCTAGTATTACATGTAACAATTATGCTCCTTTTAAGGGAACTGGTTTCCTGCAGCAAGTTATTGTTTATATCCCTATCTATTGGCCATAACAAGACACTAAACATCAACCATAAAAGTAGTTGTTGACATTTCGGATTTACAAGAGACAGTGGCATGTCAGTAGCAAAGCCTTCCCCTGATACAACATTGCAAATAAACTGTCAGGTTGAATCCGAGCTTTCATACTGAATCCTCCGATCAGGCAGACACACAGCCTCACGCGCAGTGTACTAACTCCTTGCATCTCATGTGCACACCTGTCCCTCATGGCCTGCTGCTATGGCAACCCATGTTCATTTCTCCAGACAGCATGCAGCCAGATTTGCAGCCTCCATCCTCCCTTTCATTTTATGTGAATCCATTACTGCAACAAAGCATGACACAGTTGTGCACTGACACGCTCACATAATCCCAACTCCCCCCCCCACACCCCACACCCCCACCCACACACACACACACACACACACACCACACACACACACACACACACACACACACACACCACACACACACACACACACACACACACACACACACACACACACACACACACACACACACACACACACACACACACACACACACACACACACACACACACACACACACACACACACACACACACACACACACACACACACACACACACACACACACACACACACACACACACACACACACACACCACACACACACACACACACACACACACACACAAACACACACACACACACACACACACACACACACACACACACACACACACACACACCACACACACACACACACACACACACACACACACACACACACACACACACACACACACACACACACACACACACACACACACACACACACACACACACACACACACACACACACACACACACACACACACACACACACACAACATTATTTCTTGGGGTGAACACAGTTACTACTCCCAGCGCATGTACATTGACTTACATATATTTTTTGCCTAAATTCTGTGAAATGTGATGTCTTATCAGGAGCCTCTTGAAAATGTGATAATGCTTTGCTTATCTTGCAAACAAACTGGTCCAGATTCGTTTTAATCAGCTTGTGCTGCTGGCATACTCACAATCATTCACACTAAATACAAAAAAACAGCTGCTGACATTCAAAGTGATTTAGAAAGACTCTTGCGTGGCACTGTGCCTTTCACAGCTTCCAAATCACAAAGCAGCTCGACTGTTCCAGACACAGGCCAACACATTTTATTTACCACGGCTGGTTTCACCCCGTCAGTGAGAGAATGGGATTGTGATGCAGGCACTGACATGTCACACTCACAGCCAGAGATATTATCAGGGCAAAGTGTAAAAACTCATTTCTCATCTAGTCTTGCTATAAAACACAGGAACACATTTCTGCTGTACAGATGACAGCTGCCTGAAGCGGAGCCCCAAGTCTATTTCAAGGTTTGAGATGGACATCTGTTTCAAAAGAGAAGCACACAGCAGCTGACAATTTGCCAGTTTAACATAAAGGAGAGAGAAAAGATCCTATGGAATATCAAGTGTCAGTGAATCGGAATAACACAAAGCCTCTAAAAAAAAAAGCAGACCGTCTATATTTATCAAATATGTTACCAAGAGTTAGCAGCCATGCTAGCAGCTCTGTGAGGTGAAACTAACGCTAACATCATTATGGCAACATACTCACTTCTACAAACCTTTCATGTTGATTTATGCAGGTATAAAGTTCAGTTTAAATGTAGCATGTAATGTTTATTTGCTAATTAGCAACAAGGTGCAGCTGAGGCTGATGGGAATGTTGTTTATTTTGCAGGTATTTGGTTGAAAAGGAAAGTCTGGATTGTCTTTGATTGCATGTTGAGATATTGAACAGGATACGTTGACAGTTTGACCTGCTAGTGCACTTCAAGGAAAATAAAAGGGACTGTCACAATCATAACAATTCTTCGTCTGTTGTCCAAAAATGTCTATAAAATGTAATGATAATCAATCCATTAGTTGTTGAGATATGTTGGTGGTCGGCCCGAATTTTCCATCCTTAATTCTGCTATCAAAAGTAATACTTGATTAACTGACTCATTGTTTGCACTCTTTCATCAATTGCTAGTTTCCTTTATTGACCCTTAGACCAAACCCTTAACGCCTTTGTGAGAATGATTATTTCCATGTGGCCTTGGTGTAAGCCCTGCTTGGATCCGTTTTACTGTTACGAGGCCTGCACCGGTCAGACTTTAACCTTATTTGAACTGTGCAGGCAGTTGGGTTGCAGACTCCACTTACCTGGAGCAATCAGTGGCTGAGCGCTGATAGATGTGACGTTGCGGCTCATGTTGATAGCTCGGGGTTCTGAGTTGTCCCCCTTCTTCCCAGCTTCAGATGAACTGTCAGAGGAGCCGGCCTTTGCTCCTGCGGAGGCCTGCGTTACTTGGCTGGGATTCTTCAGATTGGCCGGCTGGATGGGAACAGGGGCTCTGCTTCAGACTGAGAGCCTGCAGGGTCTGAGCGTGAGAGCAGGACGTGGTCGCCCCCTGCTGGCCACGGATAGCTAGATTCTGGACCTGATTCTTAGAAAGACAACATTATGGGAAATGATTGATAAACAGATTCACAGAGTGGATTGGAGGCAAGATATTATCAGTATTTTTATTCATGTACTCTTTTGCAAACCAATGAAGAATGGTCTGATTAAACATTCTATGGGGAGGCAGTAGCTCAGTCTGTAGGGATTTTGCTCGGTAACCGAAGGGTCGCCGGTTCACGTCCCGATCGTACCAAAATACGGAGTGTGGAGTGGTAGCTGGAGAGGTGCCAATTAACTTCCTTAGCACTGCTGAGGTGCCCTTGAGCAAGGCTCTGAACCCCTAACTGCTCCGGGCACCAGACGACTGGCAGCCCCTTCGCTCTGCCTCCTATCCTGCATGTAGTCCTGTTTGTGCATGTGTTCATGTGTATGAACTATGGGTGTGTAATGTAAAAAATATATGTTTTTTTAATAAAGTTATTCTTCTAACAGAGAAGTACAGCAAGTACAAATATTTGTTAAATATTATCATATCACATAGTTTAGTGCAGGATTTGAGCTGCGATTTAAACTTTAAGTGATAAAGTCCAGCAATTTAGTGTTTATTTTTAGTGTGAAAAGTGTTTTCTAATGGATGTACCTGCGAGGAGGCCTGCGAGGAGCTCTCTGACTGGACAGCCGTCACTGTGGCAGTTGGAGTGAAGATGAGCTGCGGGGACAGAGGAACCGCCCGGCCCAGACTCCGGGCCACCTGCACCAGGTTACTCTGCTGGGCCTAAAGCATCACACACAGGGAAGAAGAACTGCATGAGTCAGAAAATGCCTCTGGGATTGGATTCTTCACTAATCTTTCATAAAGTACTGAAAGTAGCCAGAGAACAAACTCAACAAATCTAGAAGGGCACTAAGAGAGAGTAAAGATGACTATGATGACCCTCAGGAACACAATTAAATATGATTAAGCTAAAGGACCCTTTTCATCTGCTTAGAAGAGAATGTGCCAAGATTTTGATCTCTTTGACAGAATTGTATTTTTTAACAAAAATAAGAAAACGTTTATTCAGTTAGATGGATTTTTGTAGTAACACTGTTTTGAACTTCTAATGTTTGTATGTGTGGGAAAACAAGCAAGGAAAATGGAAATTAATACAATCGGGCTTGATATTAAATCATATGCACTAATTTAACACCAGAAGACTCAACCAGAAATTAAAGCGATGGTTATCTAAACTGACAAATGTGTTTTTTCTGTCTGCCTGCAGCATCAAACACACCTGAGAATGCTGTGTACTTGGTCATAATGAGGAAGCAGAAACAGAGTATGTGCTAGATGCCAGCTGATAGCAAGTTAAAAACGACAAGTTACCCACAACCAGCTGCTAAACAGGCCAATAACGACTGAATAATGCTTCAGCAACTTTCATGTAAAACAAGTGATCCTGCAGCCAAAGCATAGAGAACACCTGTGACATCCAAAACATTTTTAAACATGCACACACAGTCTCTTCTGTGCTTGTAATGAGCACTCTGGGGCCTGATAGATTATCTTTGCAACCTTCTCTGGTGGAATAATGTAAATCAAGCACTAACTACTGCAGAGTAAGCATAAATGCGCAACACACACCAATCCTAAAACACACAGAAGGGAGAAAAACACAAGCTGGATAGTGCTTATTTATTTAAGCAGTATGTGTGTGGGGTTGTGTTTATGCATATATGCACACTCATGACTGTGCCAGTGGCTATGCCTCGCGAGTGTGCAGTCTCACCATCTGTGCACGCAGGTACATCTGTGCCTGGCTGGCTGTGAGCGTGGGGCTGGATGGGCTGCCCAGTAGAACAGCCTGCTGGGAAATACTGGTGGGGGTGGAGCTTATGCTCTGGGCCCTGCTGATGAGCTGCGCTGCTGCCGGGGAGGTGGTCAGGTTGATCTGAAGGGAGAAGATGAACAGGATAATTAGGTCATACAGTAGTGTCAGTTTTACCAGTTGTTACTTAGTCTTAGTCGTGTGTTAAATGTCCTTAGTCAAACTCATGCCATTTTATTTAAGTTGATTCAAAGTATTGGCATTTCACTCCTAGCTTAGTCATTAAAAAGAAAACCGTAATTGTTAATATAGTTTCAGTCAATCAAAATTGCGAACGTTTAAGTTTTTTTGTTGTTAATTTTATATTAAAGGTGGGGTAGGTAATTTTGGAGAAACCAGCTCGAGTGCGCTAGAATTTGAAAATACACAGCCGGAAAAAAATCTGCCACTTCCTCACAGAGCCCCTCCTCCAACACACACGAACGCACACATGACCAATGAGGGCACGAGATAAGTTTGTGCACAGATGGAAGGCTGACAGGCAGGTAGGCCATCCAGTTACTTTAGCCGGGCCGGCTAAAATGATTGGTCGTGCTTTTTACAGCGCTACGGCTTCCACAGATGACATTCTTTTATGGACTTATTGTCAAAGCACTTAAGATATTCATTGCTATCGGATGTTAAGAGCATTCCATGGAATATAACAAAAAGTGTTTCTGAAATAAATTGCATACCCCACCTTTAAACATTTCAGTCAATCAAGTCTAGCCAAAATTACACAGTTATTTTCTCCGAACTCTGTTGATATCATTGTTAAGTTAAACTTAAGTAAGTTAATTACTCTTTTCTTAAGGTGTGCTGCTGGTGTAGTCCTGATATCGGGCACGCAACACAGGAAATGGAACTGCTGCATTGATAAAAACAAACAGTTTATAACATTTGATGTCCTTTTTTTGTCAATGATTATCTTTTTTAAAAACCACATTTAAAGTGGGGCAAAAAAGTATTTAGTCAGCCACCAATTGTGCAAGTTCTCCCACTTAAAAAGATGAGAGGCCTGTAATTTTCATCCTAGGTATACCTCAACTATGAGAGACAAAATGAGAAAAAAAAAAAAATCCAGAAAATCACATTGTCTGATTTTTAAAGAATTTATTTGCAAATTATGGTGGAAAATAAGTATTTGGTCAATAACAAAAGTTCATCTCAATACTTTCTTATATACCCTTTGTTGGCAATGACAGAGGTCAAACGTTTTCTGTAAGTCTTCACAAGGTTTTCACACACTGTTGCTGGTATTTTGGCCCATTCCTCCATGCAGATCTCCTCTAGAGCAGTGATGTTTTGGGGCTGTCGCTGGGCAACACAGACTTTCAACTCCCTCCAAAGATTTTCTATGGGGTTGAGATCTGGAGACTGGCTAGGCCACTCCAGGACCTTGAAATGCTTCTTACGAAGCCACTCCTTTGTTGCCCGGGCGGTGTGTTTGGGATCATTGTCATGCTAAAAGACCCAGCCACGTTTCATCTTCAATGCCCTTGCTGATGGAAGGAGGTTGTCACTCAAAATCTCACGATACATGGCCCCATTCATTCTTTCCTTTACACCAGTGTTTCTCAAACCTTTTCACACCAAGGACCACTTAACCAATAAAAAAAACACTCGCGGACCACCTAACTCCACAAATATCCAAAAACACATCGTTTTTTACAAATCGCCTGAAAATGGTACAAACAAGTGGCCACATGTGTGATGAAGGTGTTTATCTGGGCTAGATCATGCAATTAAAAGTGAAACTTAAGCTCGCTCCATTACGCAGATATTCCCGCGAGAGTACGGAAAACTTAAATTAATTTATTTATTTCAAATGTGAAATTGTACCAATATACTCACGGACCACTAGGGGGCGCTCACGGACCACCAGTGGTCCACGGACCACACTTTGAGAAGCACTGCTTTACACGGATCAGTCGTCCTGGTCCCTTTGCAGAAAAACAGCCCCAAAGCATGATGTTTCCACCCCCATGTTTCACAGTAGGTATGGTGTTCTTTGGATGCAACTCAGCATTCTTTCTCCTCCAAACACGTCTAGTTGAGTTTTTACCAAAAAGTTCTATTTTGGTTTCATCTGACCATATGACATTCTCCCAATCCTCTTCTGGATCATCTAAATGCTCTATAGCAAACTTCAGACGGGCCTGGACATGTACTGGCTTAAGCAGGGGGACACGTCTGGCACTGCATGATTTGAGTCCCTGGCGGCGTAGTGTGTTACTGATGGTAGCCTTTGTTACTTTGGTCCCAGCTCTCTGCAGGTCATTGACTAGGTCCCCCCCGTGTGGTTCTGGGATTTTTGCTCACCGCTCTTGTGATCATTTTGACCCCACGGGGTGAGATCTTGCGTGGAGCCCCAGATCGAGGGAGATTATCAGTGGTCTTGTATGTCTTCTATTTTCTAATAATTGCTCCCACAGTTGATTTCTTCACACCAAGCTGCTTACCTATTGCAGATTCAGTCTTCCCAGCCTGGTGCAGGTCTACAATGTTGACAGCTCTTTGGTCTTGGCCATAGTGGAGTTTGGAGTGTGACTGTTTGAGGTTGTGGACAGGTGTCTTTTATACTGATAACGAGTTCAAACAGGTGCCATTAATACAGTTAACAAGTGGAGGACAGAGGAGGCTCTTAAAGAAGAAGTTACAGGTCTGTGAGAGCCAGAAATCTTGTTTGTTTGTAGGTGACCAAATACTTATTTTACAGAGGAATTTACCAATTAATTCATTACAAATCCTACAATGTGATTTCCTGGATTCTTTCCCCCCATTCTGTCTCTCATAGTTGAAGTGTACCTAGGATGGAAATTACAGGCCTCTCTCATCTTTTTAAGTGGGAGAACTTGCACAATTGGTGGCTGACTAAATACTTTTTTTCCCCACGGTAAGTCTTTTTGTCAACAATATTTATGTTAATATAGTCACAGGTAGTGATTAATAAAGTCGCTACTGCCTCGTCCTAGTCATGGAGAAAAAGGTTGTTGACTAACTTAATTAATCATAGTCAACAAAGTAAACACTATTATACACTTCCTTTACTCTACTGATATCTAAATCAATACACCAATTACATTCGACCAAGACATACAAAATACAAGATCTTGAGTTTCTGAACATTCTTACTACCAAATAATAAATGCAATAGAAAAGTAAGCACAGCTCACATGGCTGGTGTGGCGCAAAGTTCCCTTAAAGCTTCTTGGTGCCAAAATCAATTTTATTCCATGATAATTTAATGGACAGAGATAACTTAAACTCTCGAGGCTCTTAGGAGACAGGTCCAACTCTGAACTCTTACCGTAGCTTGAGTTGTTCCTGTTTGCTGGGATGAAGTGCCGTTCTGTGAAGAGCTTTGCCGGCCAGCAGCGATACTGGCCTATACAGAGAGAGAGAGAGAGAGAGAGAGAGAGAGAGAGAGAGAGAGAGAGAGAGAGAGAGAGAGAGAGAGAGAGAGAGAGAGAGAGAGAGAGAGAGAGAGAGAGAGAGAGAGAGAGCGAGAGAGATAGAGAGAGAGAGAGAGAGAGAGCTCTCTCTCTCTCTCTCTACTCTCTCTCTCTCTCTCTCTCTCCTCTCTCTCTCTCTCTCTCTCTCGCTCTCTCTCTCTCTCTCTCTCTCTCTCTCACTCTTTCTCATTTCCTGAAACATGTCTTGAGGGAGGGCAACAATAACAGCATCAGCTTTACACTGTGACATTGATTCTTTCATGTGATGAGCGCTGGCTGACCTGCTGGACAGCAGCCAGGCTCTGCAGCTGAGCGGTGCTGAGGTTGTGCTGCTGCTGGAGGGCAGCAGTCTGTAACATCAGATGCTGCTGCTGAGCCGCGTACATCTGCTGCAGGTACTGTGCTGCTGTGTTAGGCTGTCTGTGTAGCGCCTGCTGGAACACCTGCATATAAAAGATAGACAGATAGATTTGTTGTTTTATCATGCAGCACATCACACACTTTTATTCTGAGAGAGGAATTATTAAATGTATGTCAGCTTATCATTTTCAATGCTAGTTTTTATCTTGTACGTTTGGTGGTATGTAGTTTCTTAATATTTAGGTGTGGAGAGCTAAGCGTAAGAATTTCACTGAACAGTGCAATTGCCTGTTATACTGTACGTATGACAATCTAATATCTTGAATCAGGTATGGTTAGTTCAGTAATGTTGAAATAAAGTTAGGATATATTAAATATTATTGTAGAAAATGGTAGTCAAATAATTGGTTGAGTTTATTAACTCGTCTTTCCAAATCAATGTGCTTATATACACGGTTTAAACAGCTTGTTAAAAGTGAAAGTCAATCACTTTTAAACCTAAACCAAAAACATATATGCTCTCAAAGCCATTAAATATTTATTATAAATGCAACCTCAAAAAATATTGTTTTATACCCAAAGCAATCAATGGCAGATTATGTGGGAAATCACATAATTTGCAAGGAGGATATTTTAGTTCAAGCTAAATCCTAACCTTGAAAACATGTTAGAAAAAAAAAACTTCAACTCTAATTGTGTTCTGAGGAATTTTTGTTTCAGTTTTAGGTCATAGAGTGTGTCACCCAATAATTGTCTTCAAGAAAAGTCTCATCTACGCCTTGACCCGATTAGAACAGTTAAACCTCCATCCATTGAGAAGAACTCTTTGCCCTTCACCTCTGAAAGTACCCTCTTCCTTGTTGCCAAGTAACCAAAGAGGATGTTGACTTGAGGTCCATAGTGTCAAAGAAGCATCCGGACACACACATCTTGAAATGGGGGTGAAATTGGTAGCAGAGATACGAGACAACACTCATTTGCTTTAAAGGAGCAGCAGCCCCTTTCCGCTCAGAGAATGCCGTTTGCCATTTGATTGTCACCGGTCTGAGTACAAGTAAAGGCCCACTGAATATAACAAAAACCTAACTGTCAGAGCATCAGCACTAAAAGCTTGGGTGGACCTTATTCAGGGAGAGGGTAAGCCTGTGTAGAGGATTATCCCGGGGTCAAAGGTTCAAGAGCACAAAGCACATAAAGAATTCCTTTAACCTGAAGAGTTCTGTGAGATGGCCGTCATTTCAGTTTCCTTGATTAGGATGACAAATGCCTCTTATTTCATTCTGATTAGAAAATGATGTGTTGACATGTATGTGGTGTAATATACACCAACAGAGGGCAGTAATGCAAAGGAAAGTATGATCACCTCTTTATGTGTATGCAGATGTCACACACAATATAAGCTGCAAGGATTAGCCGCGGAACAGACCTGGTGATTGACATTAACCTAGTGAGCAACTATTTTGATGATCCATTAATGTTTCATGTGATGTTTCATGAGAAGATGGCAGAAAATGCAGTTTCCTTTGCATAAAAAACAAGGACATGTTCTGCTTTTCTGTTTATTCTCATATAAGATTGAAAACATTTTAACTTTGGACTTTAAGAAACTGGGATGGACATGTTCACTTTGTCAGCCCTTCATACAGAATCCTGACTGAATATCAAGCCGTCAACAATTTCATCTCAACACTAAGGAACTCACCTGCACTGTTTGCCGGTCGGGTATCCCACTGTAAACAGATATCTGAGGCACCGCCTGCCTCCCGGCTGCAGTACTACTGCTGGCACTACTGTTTGTGTTACTACTACTACTGCTGGGGGGAGTGGTAGAAGTAGTAGCAGTAGTGTTAGAGGTACTACTGCTGCTGGCAGCTGTGGTGCTGGAGGAGGTGGCGGTGGCGGTGGCGGTGGTGGCGGTCCCGGTGCTGTTGGCCGTGGGGGCAGGGGCCCCCGGCTCACTCTCCATGGTGCCCTCTGCTCTTCTCACCTTTGACCCCCGACTCTTCTGAATGGCTCTCCTGTGCCTGGGGACAGGGGAAAGGCAGAGCACATGAGAACATGCAACACTTTCTTTGTAACTAAGTTCAAGAAAACAGAATGTCTTTCTTCAATAAAAAGTCATCAGTCATAAGGGGAGTAAAAAGTGAGTGTGAGCCCTATTTCAGGGCTGCAACTAAGAGCAAGTTTTATTATCAGTTGATCTGCAAGCTATTTTCCCAATTGATGGATTCAATTTCTTGTCCATAAAATATATAACAAAAATAAAAGAATGCCGTTTGTCACAGCTCAACATGATCAGCTTATTAACCATTTAATTTATCGTTGCAGCTTCAATGAAACCAAATGATAGGAGTTCACAAGCCCTGAAGTCTAATATACTTGATAATCCACAATTCTATTTCCATATACTGATTTGCCATCGACTGCAGCTGGACTTAGAGCAGTACATACAACAGCAATGTTCTGCATTGTACAAATGTGCAGCAGGATGAGAGCCAGCTGGGAAATAAATGATTCTTTTGAAGTCTGTTTATTTTCATGCACAAATGCGTTACTGGAGTTAGTATTACATTTAAAGGAGCCTCTACGAATACATTCCAGTATCGTCCCTTGACTACTGGAAGAAGCTCAGTTTTTAAACTCTACACACAGTGTATGGATTCATTCTCCAAAAACAACAAAAAGAGAGGCATGCATGACACAACAAAGCTGGCTAGAGAAACACACAAAAATGCAATCTGGGAAGCTAATGATTTCCAGTGAATTAAGCATGAAAGGCAGAGTGGCTGGCTTACATTAGCGGTCTCCGTATGTTTGAGAGTTTCACATATACAAGATGAAAAGACGCATTCGGTGCAAGTTAATTAGAAGGCAGCAGAGGCGGTTATAATGACTCAAACTCCCTCGCACACACTCCAACCGAAACACTCCTAACCATGATACATACGAAAAAAAGTATTGGCCTTGATCAGAAAATTGCCAATACAAAAGACATATGTCAAACCATACTGACATACACTGTCTAAGACTTCCATTTCTTCTCATGAGCGTGGAGGAGAACAGAACACATGATTAAGGACCTGTCCATAAAAGCCTTCTTAAGGTTGGTCCCCTGGTGCACAGCTATCCATTAGCACAAGAGGAAACGCTTCAGAGCTCCCCAGACAGAGAAGACGGAGAAGGCTCCAGCTTGAAAGGTGATGAGTTTGGAAGAGGATGGGAGGAGAGACAGGCTCATTCCTTAGTGGAGGCAAAGATGACATTTTAAGAATATAAAGAAAGTCCAGAAGTCTTTGAGGAAGCGGAGCTCCAATGGAAACAGGCAGACTTGAGATGGTAGTGGTGTACTAGAGAGGATGATGTGGGATTAATGAGTGAGTGTGTATGTGGAGGGGGATTCAAACAGCATGACAGCTGATGTAACAGAGCTGAAAAGAGAGGGCAAATAGGGAGGGTGGAATTTCTAGCCTTGGGGTTAGAGGTGTGAGCATTAAGATATAGGGGGAGGCAGGAAGGGAACGAGAGTGAGGGGTGAAGGTTGAGGGAGCAGGTTGAGGATTTGAAATGGGTTGGAGTGGAAACGAGAGTTTGATGGAAGTAATTAAATAAGGAGCTATGCTGCCGCCATGCTGCAATTCTTAAGCTATTTCCTCCTCCTCCTCATTATTCCTTTGAACGGATTAGGGGCCACAACAGAGCTCTTTAGCCCCACTTATGCAACAAAGCAGACTTGGAAACAAACTGCAATCTTACAAAAACATATGCTTTAAATTTAATTTGAAAGCCCTCGTCACTGAATGAGAAAAAGGCAGGAGTTGAAAGAATTGTATGTTCTATTAATGAAAACTTGAGATGATCATGAATAGGCAATTAGGAAATTAGTAGATCTTTTTTCATGTTCAACAGAAAACATCTTGTCAACACCCTTCTCTAAGAAATAATTGTCAGGGTCATTCAAATGAAATGAGGACGATTTAAATAAAAAACTGAAAAAAAACTCAAATGAAGACCCAATTAACAGACATTTAATTTTGATATAAAAAAACAATAAAAAAATTACAATTTTGCATTCTGCAGTGTCTGCAGTGAATTTGAAAAAGTCTTGTCCATATAACTGAATATAACTGACATCTAGTCCTGCTTTCTGGTTGTAAACAAAGCACTGCCAAAGCCTGCCTGTATGCCGTCATTAGCCTACATCCCACTGTCTGCTTCCCATTGCCTCTTCATGTGTGTGGAGAGGGGAGGGAATCCCCTCTGGTAATGATGCCTTCACTGCCTGTCTTTCTGAGAGGAGTCACCCATCCATCAGTGAAGGGGTGCAATGGAGAAAACAACACCACCCCCACTCCAAACCTTAACCCCACTTCCACATCTACGACTTTAATCAAGCTTTGACCTGGAAAAACCTGGTACCCAACGATGTGTGTGTGTGTGAGCCCATCAAAGTAGCCCGTTATACATTTGAAACAGTCGCTCAGTCAGCACCATAACAACACATTTGCACTCCTTACAAAAAGCATATTGATCTACTCATAGTGGCTTCACAAGACCGCAACAACTGACAGTCAGATTTGTGTCTAGAGGTTTTGCATCGCCTGCAGGAAGATGAGAGCTGTTATGAGACTGTCAGACAGACTGGCTGTCTCTACAGCGCTTAGAGGAAGTGCATCCATCAGTGTTCCTCCCTCAGTACGCATATAGGAAAACGCTGATGACCCACATTAAAAAAACATCGCTAGAAAACTGCAAAAATCTATTGATGCTTTAATAGCCAGGAGATAAATGTATGCTTGCATGTGTTTGTGGAGGGGTGCTCTGCTGCTGAGACAAAGCCCCCTAACCCTGGTGCTCCTACCTCCTCCGGCCCCCCCGACGCGATGCAGGGGTATGATGCCCCATCCCCCGGGAGCGTGCTGTCCTCCTGCCGGATGCTGCTCCTCTTTGTCTGCCTGACTGAGTGTCTGGCTGGCTGACGGACTGAATGAGCGTGTGCGAGTGTGTCGGATCCGAACCCCAGCACCTCTCGTCTTCTACCCCCAACGCACAGCGAGCTCGTCGTCCCAGCTTCAACACCCCACTCCACCAACCAGGCCGCGGCCTGCCTCCTGATTATGTGGTATCCTAGCGACAGCCAACGGGGTGCTTATGGAATCCCCGTCCAAAGCAGCGTGCTGATTGGACGGCAGGATCCTCTCTAATGAAGATGATGGTAATGATTTACTCAGTCTTTCCCCTCCCCCTCTGCCTGAATACTGATTTTTTTTTAAGGATGCTTGGACCCTACAACATAAGGTAAAATGTAAACACCATCTAAATGTGTTTTTATTTTTTTAAGTAAAATCCCAGATAATGAGGCACTTCATAGAAATTACAGCAGTGTACTCTTTTTGTGTGAAACTGAAGGCTCTATATCCATTTTAGTGCCTCAAATGTGAGGGTCTGCAGGTTGGGTTTTAAACCATTGATATAGAGAGCACCGTTTTCACAAATAACCAGCAGCAGTAAGTGGGACAATTTTGTATCACAACATTCAGCGATGGACAGGAGAAGTGACTTATGGCCAGCCTGAACATTCAACCAATTATCGGACTAGAAAGACAGTAATCACATCATCAATTTTGTGACAAGAGTGATACTGAGGCTAGAGAGCAAAATAAATAAAAAGGAATCACGGTCCATCATGACGCCCACTACCCAGTGTCTGCCCGTTAAGTGAAGTACTGGTTAACTACATCTTTAACCAAATGTTCCCTTATCCTGCCTAATCAGCACCATTTAAGCCAAATCCTAACTAATGATACAAATCTGACTCGATGATGGGATAGCCATGTCGCAACAGGAAAGCATCAAAACACCCATTTATTTCACGTACGGAAATGAAATTAATAAGAGTAGAAATTCAGATCCCCTGCAAAATGAAATGAGATAGCGTTGCAGCTGAATTCAACCCTCTCTTTAATGACTACAGGATTCATTTATGTGGAATAGGATAGATAAAGAGAGAAGATAATGGCATACTTATGCTCTGTCCCACCACATTAACACGCCACCCAACCGTCTGGTTCTATGAAATGTAGCCATTTGAATCGTTTGATGGTGCAATGTGGTATTGATTGGGGCCAACCATGCATGAACCTCATTGATTATCATCTTCGCATTAGCATATAGATTAGCTGGCGGTGCAGCCAGAAACGCAAGCCTCAAGTCTCACACTTGGCTGACAGAGCTGAGCAGCAGGGTGAGGGGGGGGGTCAAAATAATAAGGAAACAGAAGGAAAACAGAAGGAATGGGGGACCTCAGTTGACATAAGCTGCTTAATCATGAACCTCAACTTTTGAAAGCACAGGACCCTAAACCGCATAAAGATACTTCAGCAAAAAGAGTGTCCACAGTGAAATGGGGCGTAAAGAGTGGTCTAGGCAAGGGTCTTTAAAAACAAATAGCATTGTTTTCAAAGAGCATTCAAGCTCATTATCATTTTTACGAACACTGATGCCCAACGAGCTCTTTTGGGGAGTGCTATACATTTAAATGACGTAGACACTATATTAGCCTTAATCTTAGATAGCATTTGACATCTAGGACACCATCAACGTATGCACAAAAAAGTTTGCTTGAACATTTTGAAATAAAAACAAAACTGAATGACAGTTATGACAACATTATGAGACCTTCGAACACACTGTACAGAAATAACACGAGCCAATTCATTTAACATCATAGTGCTTTAGAACTGCAAATCATTTTTTCCTTTCAGGGGCTGAATATATTAATTGTCTTCAATTATTTTTGGGTTAGTAGAGCCTATTTATAATCTCACAGGGGAGACCAGCAGCTGCCTGTCAGACTCATCCATTTTGATGGACAAAGTGTTCAAGACGTTTGAAATCTCTTCAGAATATTCAGACATATTAGGTGGCAGATTTGTCATCCTTTATTTTCTGCAGAAAGGGTTATCCAGGCTATACGTTGTGGGAGACTGTTATCACTCCAACGCATGCATTCACTTTGTATTTGATTAATTAACAATAGGATTAATGAGTTTAGTGCCAAAACAATTCGTCAGTTGACAGAATGTTCTAATTCATTTGTTTCCCATGATAGTGAGCTCCAATTTGAGCATTTATAGCTTATTATATCGTTTTATAGCATTGTCAGTTATATTTTTGGGCCCTTGATTATGGAAAAATAGCGACTTGGAAGAATCTTGAGAACAGTTTTTCTGATATTTAAAACAATGATTATTACATTGAAAAAGACAATCAATAACAATCTGAGCTGCAGCCCTCAGTGAGTTATTTATGATCAATTCAGTAGGGTCACAATATTGACAACAATAAACATCACCTGGTTATTAATGTCTAATGAATGACAGGGTCCTGGCATTATAGTCAGCTTCCACATCCTCTGCTCTACAAAGTAGCATGTCCTTGGTGATGCTGAGGTTATCCCCTGAGGCCAATGATGGTCGATGGGTCTTGTCCAAACAGAGCAAGCAGGGCACAGCCTTTGTTACAGTGTGTAAGACAGAGATACCCTCTGATCCCGAGGCAAGATTGGTCGGGTATCCCGTAATTGAGCCATCTGACTCCGACGGACCTTGCCTTCCACAGCTGAGTAGACCGGCACAAAGAGAGGTGCTGGCTGCTTTCCAGGTAAAGTGTGCTGAGCGTGTGTACCATTCCAGCACATAGACTCATGCTGTGAAGACACAAAACACTTTCACTTGACTCTACCCGGTAGACTGTGCTCTTGTACGGCATCATTTCGTAAAGCCCCAGCCAGTAACGTGCCGATTGCTCCACGAGATTCCAAAAAATGACTTGGATTGTTAACAACTCTCAAAATAAACCCAGAGGAAGCAGACAGAAGAGCAGAAGGAGACTGAGGCAGAACATTAAGGATTTGTCCCTTTGATCTAAAAATATGACAGTTGAATAGTTCTGGCAAAGCTTGCAGATTAGCAACACGCTTCAATCCAGGCTGTTCTATCAGAGAAGTCTCTGAGGCATCTCTCACAGGCGTCGATCATACCAAGAGGAAATAAATAGGTCAGGTATGAGCTGAAGTGGATAGTGTTTTACTGCCTTCATCGGAAAAAGCATTTCATTTTTGCTTTAATCGAAAACATCTGACGAACAAACAATCTAAAAGAAAACTGAAAAGCCTCTGGGTCACAAGTACAGACTTTCAGGTAGCTTGTGATGACTGCAGGAATGCATTTTATCATTACTTTACCAAGACTAGAAGATGTAATTTGCCAAAAATGACATAGCATCCTCATTTTCTTAATGAGGATAGAGATGAGGCACTCAATGCATTTACCCCTCATGGAAAGCTCTTATTTGAACTATAATAACGACAAATATACCATATCCTGATGATAACATGGTTATAACACTTTAAGGCAAATACAAAGGTCACCATATCATCTTTAAGTCATCTATAAAGTCATCAACAGGTCAGAATGGTCTTTGACCTGATCTGACAATGTGTCAAATGTGTAAGCCTTTGAAAATATTTCAATTTGACATCATCCAACTCAAACCTTGCTTGTAATTGTCAAATGTAGTCATCAAGGAATTGTCTAGAAAATGCTAACAAACATGCACTTATTACAAAATATATGGTCCACCTATGATAAAGGTAAAAATACTTTATTTCTGACATCATACACACCAACTGACCATTTGTATTTGACTAAATGGGAATGATGTCTGTTGCTGTGACTGAACTGGCATCGCTCATGTAGAGAAGCACATCATCTGAGTTTCTTGCCAACAAAACTTGCACGCAAGTGTGCTTCTTCTGCACAGGAAAAAGATCTTTCCCACTTTTCGGCAGAGTGAACGCATCAAATCTCTCTGATGTGCATCAGGCTGACCACTAATGGATGTAATGCAAGAAGCAAGTGCAAATAAAGTGGTCACAGATGATGGAGCGCAACATCTCAACATGCAAAACATGAGTTGGACCTGTGGCTCTCACCCTCTTGTGAAATAAACAAATCAACCTTTTCATAACAATGACATAAATAGCACATGACAGCTTGTGCATTATAGACCAATATTCAGCTACAAGAATTAAGGGCTGATACTGTTTGATGTTAGCTTCTACTGACTTACATATGACAGCTTGATAAAGCAAGCAATTCACCTTTGGAAGATCTATGAGCTTCTTGTGTAAGCCTGTTGATGCTTTGTATCTTGAAATATTACATTACATTACATTACATATTACTTGTTAGACGCTTTTATCCAAAGCGACTTACTCAACACTGTGGGCAATCCCCACAGGAGCAATTTGGGGTGAAGTGTCTCAGGGACACAACGACATGCTGACTGCAGTGGGGTTTGAACCTGTGACCCCCTGATCCGAATACCAACTCACAACCCACTGCACCACACGCCTCCAAATATCACATCTCTAAGCATAATCTGACCCTCCAGAGATGGCATATAGTTTAAGGAGGAGGTGGAGGCAACACATGTACTCTAGGGCAGCCATGGCCTAAAGAGACCTCATCTGAAGAATAGAAGGGTTGCCTAGTGATGCTGAAAACAGGAGCGAGAACTCTGTTCATTTTTGCTTGGCCTTCCTACCCTACAGGTTTTTACCAAACAGAGGAAAACAGGTATACAAATCACGTCATTGTGCGATTTTGGGCACCCCCATAGAAAGAAAACAAATCAACAACAAAAAATCAATGACAAAAATAAGAGCTGGATTGATGAGTTAATGTACTGATTAGTCAATCAACATACAAATCTAATCAGTAACTATTTTGATAATTATTTCATGCCAATAATGATAGTTGCATCCCCTCAAAAGGTGAGGATGTTCCTATTGTATTTGGTATATAAGTTAGTAAACTTAATATATGTGGGTTTCAGGCTATTAGTTTGACAAACGACCTATTTGAATATTGACTTGATTTTTATGGGCACATAATGTTGTTTTTTTGACAAATCAATAAACAAGAGAACAAATAACAGGTTCATTCCTAATGAGAACAATGTGTTGCAGCCCAAATGCAAACACACACACATGACATTGTACTTGTGTTTAAGGTCTAAACACA